GGGGATGCATGCTTGCAAGTTACTTAGCATATGTTCTAGTATCCTCTAAATGATAAGTAAATGCTAGCTATTATTAAATATATATGCAAAAAATTTGTAATTCTGAACCATTAAAGGAATTTATCCTAAGGAAAAATGCAGGAATTCAAATACATATATATGTATATCAATACAACAATATGCATCACATATTTATTTACAGAAACAAAACCATGAAAGCAACATCAATATCAACAGGAGAGTAGTTAAATGAATTATAATACATTCAAATAATGCTGAAGTATTTTACAGTTATTTAAGAGAGATTATATTTCTGGATAGCCTAATGACATGGGAAAATATTACAAGTAAAAAGAAGCAGGGTATAAAATTGATTCTATGGCAGGATCAATTTTTGAAAAATTCATTTATATACATTTTGTAAACAGAGAGGTATTCAAGAGAAGGGTCTATTAAAAATATCAATTGATCAAAATATTAACAAGGTTTATTTCTCCAAATTGGGATCATGAGATATTTTTTCCTTGTATATTTATTCCTTGTATTATTCAGTATCTTATATATTTTGTGAGGACTATTTATTATTCTTTTCATGTAATTTGAAAGGAAAAAGTCTATATGTATGTCATTAAATATATATACGTATGTATATATATGGATCAGTTGTTTAATTTTGTGAATGGACTTCCCTAAGTGCTCATTTTACTGCCATATTCAACCTAGACATTTGGATAAACATTTCATTTTGGCTTATTCTTCCCAGTCTTTATGTATAAAGAAATTCTTTATTTTCTAACAAATTGTATCTCCATTATACAAGAAGCCCTTTGGGAGCAGGGCCCCTGCCTCATTGGTCCGTATATTCCTTCATGCCTCCTTCACTTGTATGCACATTGGAGACACTCAGTAATTTGCAGGATGAATCAAAATCAGAAGAGTCTACATTCTTCCACCAGAAAAGTCAAATGATAGCTAAATCTTTTAAAAAATGCTTTATATTAAATTTACTTTCTTAGTTTGTTCAATAAATGGTGCTGGGAAAACTGGGTCACTACATGCAAAAGAATGAAGCTTGACCACTACCTCACACCATACACAAAAATCAACTCAAAATGGATTAAAGAACTAGACATAAGACCTGAAACCATAAAATATATAGAAGGAAATATAGGCAAAACACTACGTGATTTGCACATCAAAGACATCTTTACAGACACATCACCCAAAGCAGTGATAGTGAAGGCAAAGATAAACAGCTGGGACTACATCAAATTAAAGAGTTTCTGCACAGCAAAAGAGACAATAACCAAAACAAAGAGAAACCCCACCGACTGGGAGAACATTTTTGCAAACAACACTAATGATAAATAACTGATCACAAAAATCTGCAAAGAGCTGATGAGACTCACCAACAACAAAGAAAATAATCCAGTGGAAAAATGGGCAGAAGAGCTAAAAAGAAACTTCTCTGAACTTACTGAAGAGAAAATGCAAATGGCCAACAGGCATATGAAAAAATGTTCAACATCACTTGTAATCAGGGAAATGCAAATCAAAACTACCATGAGATACCATCTCACACCAGTGAGAATGGCACATATTAAAAAAACTAGCAACAACAAATGTTGGCGAGGGTGTGGAGAAAAAGGAGCTCTTCTGCACTGTTGGTGGGAGTGCAAACTGGTCCAACCACTATGGAGAGCTGTGTGGAGATTTCTTGACCTACTAAACATAGAGCTTCCATAGGATCCAGCAATTCCACTCCTAGGTATTTACCCAAAGGACACAGAAACATCAATTCCAAAGAACACCTGCACCCCTATGTTTATAGCAGCACTATTTACAATAGCTAAGCTTTGGAAACAGCCCAAATGCCCAAAAATAGATGACTGGATCAAGAAGATGTGGTACATATACACCATGGAATATTACTCAGCATTCAAAAAAGATAAACACGCAATTTGCAGCAACATGGATGGCGCTGGAAGGGATCATGCTCAGCGAAATAAGCCAGAAAGAAAAAGAAAAATACCGGATGGTCTCACTCATAGCAGGAATCTAGAAAACTTAAATAAGGGACCAGGAAAATGAATAACTATAAGAGAGTGAAAATCAAAATCAACAAAAAACTATGAAACAGAGACACTTTTTGGGGGGTGGGGGGCAGGAGGGGAGGGAGTTGGGTCAGAATGGGTGGGTTGCAATTGTATGGGGAATATAAAAATAAAATTTATTATTTTTAAAAAAATAAATAAATAAATTTACTTTCTTACATGGTTGTTAATTTTCGGACAGTATTTGATTTCTCCCCTCAAGTGGAGTCCCTGTTGTTCTCCCGCCACAATAGCACTCTGCTCCATGTCCACCGTTCTTGTGCAGCTCCCTTCCTGTTCTCACCCCTTTCCCTCCTTCTCCCCTGTGGTATGCCTCACACCTATGGTGAGCTTGCAAGTTTTATCTTTTTCCTGACCCTTCGGTTTCTCCATATTCCACATATAAGTGAAACCATCCAATATTTCCTTTTCCTTCTGACTTTTTTCACTTAGTGTAATCCCTTCTAGCTCCATCCACCTTTCTGCAAATGGCATGAGTCTACCCGAAGGGCACAAAAACATTAATTCAAAAGGAAACCTGCACTCCTATGTTTGTTGCAGCACTATTTACAGTAGCCAAGATATGGAAACAACCTAAATGCACCTAAACAGATGAATAGATCAAGAAGACATGGAACAATACATAATGGAATACCACTCAGCCATTAAAAAGATAACTAAATCTTATGTTACTCCCAGGAGTATTTACATTTACACTCATCAATTTTCCCCAACAAAGATTATCAGGATTTTATCAGTATTTGTGTTTTACACAAGGCACTGTAGGTACTATGGGGCATAAGTAGATATTGTTCCCTACCATTTATTTTATTTTTGCATTTAACCAAAATAGTTTACTTGAAGATATATATAGAGAGATATAGATATAGATATAGATATAGATATAGATATATAGATATTGATATAGATAGTTTCTTCTGCTTAAGCTATGTTTTTTAATTGAGGTAATATTGGTTTATAACACTGTATATGATTCAGATGGATAGAATCACACCTCTCCAGACGTATGTTAACACCCCACATCCAACACCTACCTTTTACATGCTTATAACCAAAGCCAATTGTGTAGGGGATTGGAAGGCAGAAGAAGCAAGAAGAGAATTACATCATTTGAGGTATTATTATATATAGACACTACATTAGACAATTACTTACATGGAATTTTTAAAACAAATCTTTGTGGCAGAATCTTCATCCACATTTTATAAATGAAATAATAGAGGCTCCAATTAAGTGTCTAATCTAAGTTCACAGATTTAGTGTCAGGGCTGGGGTTTAAACCCTGGGCCTTTTGGGTCTGACTGTAGGACTGTTTTTATCTCCTTAATGAATACTACCTCTCAATAAGTATGTGCCCCCATGTACGTGTGTTTAATTACTGAACTAAACCATATCATGGTAAGTGCCATACTAAGGATGTAAAAATGTTAAAAAGAAAATCTGTAAAGAATGGTTAAGAACCTGGGCTTTGGAAATTACTCCCTCAGTTTGAATTCTGGCTCTCCATTTACTAGCTATCTCCTCTTGGGCAGCTTACTTAATTTCCCTGTGCCTCATTGTCCCATCCATAAAATGGGAGCTCAGGCTTAGCTCACAATGTTATTATAAAGATTAAATGAGCTAAGAAAACTAGAGGGCAGAGTCCATCACTCCATGATAGATGGCTGATAAATGTTGGGTATTGTTCTAGGAAATCAGAGGAGAGAGAAATTATCTCCACCTGGTAATGGATCAGGGCCGGCTTTATGCAGGTGACATTGAAGAGAAGATTGGGTGTAAATGAAGAGCAGCAGAGTCCAGAGTCCGGAAGGGAATGACCAAGGGCAGGGGAGGTGGGGAAGCTCAGGTGTGTGGACTGAGTAATAGGCCTTGAGGCTGTTAGGGGGAAAAGGATGTCCTAAAGCTAATTCCATAGGGGCTTTGTGGACTCCACCCCCACCCCAGGCCAAAGCCAAAGACACTGGGAACTCCAAATCCCATCACCACCAAAGGGAAGGTGGCTGGGACCTGAGGGTGGGGTTAAGCAACCAGGTTGGTATAAAGCCAGACAAGTAGGCTTTGGAGGGGGGGGGGTTCCCCCCATTTTGGCTCTCTGCCAGCTCGCAGTGTCCGGCCAGCTCTGAGAGTTCCTTTGGGTTTCCAGGTCGGCGGATCGGGTAGGACGCATTAAAGACTTTATTTCCCTATTTTCTCCCTGAGTTGTACATTTCCTCAGTTCCCTTTCCCTTGTAAATAAACCTTTTATTAACCTTTTGTGTGTGCCTGTAGTGGAGTATTCATAAGTCCCTTGTAAGCGCGCGGGTGAGGACCCACAGCCAGGAACCCGTTCAATATCGGGGCTGCCCTACAACAAGGCCACAGAGTTATTGGAAGATAAACTTTCCAAGAGAGACAGAGGTCAATGCATGGAAGGTCTTGAAAGCCAAATTTCAAACTCTGGCATTAGTAAAAGTTTTTGAGGAAGACCAAATTAAAACCTTCTTTGACAGCAATCGTCCTTTCCCCCTAACAAAGTGAGACAAATTTGCAGTTTTATCTTTGAACTTTACCAACTGCAGAAACCAGCAACTCTGAGGACAAATGTTTTGATGGAGGGAAGGAAGAGAAGAGAGAGGTGGGGGAGGGAGAGAATGAATAAGTGGAAGGTGATGGAGATGAGAAGTGGGAGGAAAGTCTCCCCTAATTCCACATTCCGGAGCATCTCCTTGAACTTAACCTACCCATGCCCCCAACGAAGAGGCAGTTCCCACCTCAGTTCAGGGCTCCGCTTAACTTCGATACTATGCTCTGGGCCAGTGAGGAGCAAGGGTAGGGCATTAGGACCCAGCGATTGTTGTAGTGAGAGAGGTTGAATCTCGATCTCTCAATTTTTCTCTCGAGCTCCCTCCTCTCCTTTGTCATTCTAGCTGCCTGCTGCCTCCGCGGCGTCCCTCTTGCTCCCTCTGTGTTAACTGCTTGCGCCGTAGACAGACAGAGTGCGCAAAACAGAAGGATTAGTTGGGACCTGCCTTGGTGACCCATGGCATCCCCCAGAACCATAACTGTCGTGGCCCTTTCGGTGGCCCTGGGACTCTTCTTTGTTTTCATGGGGACTATCAAGTTGACCCCCAGGCTCAGCAAGGATGCCTACACTGAGATGGTAAGTGAAGCTGTCGGGTGATGAGGAGCGCACCCCCAAGGGATTGCGAGGACCTCTCCCCTTCTTTCCTTCTCCGTCCTGGGTCCCAGCCCCTTAAACCCGACCCCCACCCTGGACCGTCCCTTCTCCCCAACAACTTTGCAGTTCGGTAGGAGCAGCTGGGCAAGAAAGATTTCGTTTGTGGGCTATGCCCGGAGCAACTGTTCAGGGGCCGCTGAATGCCAGTTGGGGGAGGGGTTGCTCAGTGAGTGCCCCCCCATACCCCCAAGTAAACCAGAAGGCTGAGACCTGCGTAACACCTGTCAGTGTCAGGAGCCCTCCCCTCCTTCCAGCACACCCAAAGTGCGGGCTCCAGTCTGCAAGTCGGGTGGCTTCCTTGGAGCTGAGAGTTTACCAAACTGGAGAGTTTATTTATCTTTGAGAAGAACAAAGGGGAACGAGCTAAGGGAGAAGGGGTTACTAAAAAGAGCAATTTTTAGGGGCGGGAAAGGTATCCCACAACCCAGGCGGAGAGCCGATGGTATTCCCCAGCAGCCTGGTTGTGCTTCGGTATCCTTGAGACAAAGCACTCTTAGCCCAAATAAAGGTCACTGAGCGCTTGCTCCCTGGCACCCCCCCCCAAAGGAGAGCTGGATGTTTTGTTTTATTTTATTCTGTTTGTAGGCTAATCTGCAAAATCTGCAAAGTCTGTCTTTTCTCTCCTGCCAAACAGTCCATAACCCCCCACCCTGACTCCTGTGGATGCCCAGGGCCTGGCCCTCTGCAGGTTTTCCCCTCTGCAGAGTTGGAATCACCGAAGGTGACTGGCCAAAACATCTCTGCAACCTGGGGGCTGGGCTGCTCTCCCCAGTTGGGCGTGAAGAGGACTTGCTCTTATGCTGTGAAGTACTAGGAGATAGCAGTGGATGTTTCCAGCACTTTCTGTCGCTTGTCTCTTCCCCTGTCACTTTGCTCTTCATTTCCCCGCCCCAGATGAAGGGAACCTGCTTCTCACTGCCTTTGCCAGACTGCCAGGAATGGGAGGGAGCCTATTACTGGGCTGTCAAGGTCAAGAAGGAATAGAGTTAAGGGGAGGACCTGGAAGAGAAAGAGAAAAGAGGCAAGAGAGACTCCGTAGGGCTGAGGCTAGGAAGAATAACCCCACACGTTGACAGGAATAAATGGCTCTCCTGGAGGCACTGCAGAGCTTTCCAGGGCACCTCAACATGAGCTGCAAATGGATGGAGACTGCAAATTGTAGATGCTCAGAAATGTTTGTAGGCAGCTCTGGCTTCGGGAGCTCTCAGGGTTTGAGCTAGTGCTTTCCATGTCTCTCTCACCACAGGATCACCCTGGGGTGGGGGAGGGTAGCTGGGACTCAAGGGCCTAGGTCTAGCCTCAGTGGCAAATCATAATGTGCTTCTCCTGCTTCTTTCCCCTCCTCCCAGCATGTTTGACCAGATGGAATTAAAATCAGGTCAAAATGTGTATAGGAGACAGCCTGCAATGGGGAGGGGAGAAGAGGTGGGGGAGCGAAAGCCACCAAAGGGCTTGAAGAGGTAGGACAGAGGGGCAGGGTGGAGGGGGAATACTACTACAATTATGTCTTGGTGGTAGCAGTTTTGTGTTAGATATAGATAAATGAATATGCTCCTGCTTTTCTTCGCTTTTCTTCACTTTTCATATATGCATATGTTTATAGATTTGTGTGTGAGCGCATGAGATATTTTTAAGCTTTGCCTTTCCTTAGGGACATAACACCCTTCTTCAGTATATTCTCTGCTCCCCACACCCTGCTAAGCTGCTTTAGAGGCCCCCCCAAGATGCACCCTAAGTACAGTGTTAGGCTCTGCAGGCAATCCAACTAAGATGGAGTCACCGGGAAGCTTCCTACCAGCTTGGCAGGAGCTCACGAGGAGGACCAGCCAAATGGGTTTACAGTAGGCTTCTCCTAGGGAGTGAGCTGTCTGTTGCAGTCTAATGAAAGGTAGAAGAAACAAATATGAAGATTTCATATCCTACAAATGAGCAATCTTAAATAGAGATAACCTAATACAGTAGTACAGAACCAGTGTGTGTGTGTGTGTGTGTGTGTGTGTATGTGTACGCACAATTCTGTGCTTCTGTGCTCAGAGGCAGCTGGAGGGAACTGAAGAACTATATCTGCATGGGAGGCAGACTTCACAGTAGTATGAAGCTTGAGAAGGATTTTCAGACCACTCTTTTCCAGGATCCTCTCCTACATGGAGCATTTTACAGAGGCTGGAGATGACAGTCCAACATAGGGCTCACTGCACAGGACCTGGGCTGGCCCAGTTTTATTATTCAACCTGTAGGAATCAAGGTCTAGTCCAAATCAGGTGCTCAATTTATGTTTGTTGAATGTACAGGTTAGTCATTGTAGCCTTATCTTGGCTGGTCACCACCCTTCAGATTTCTCTGGTGGACTCTTGCATTTTACAGTTCAAGAACCATTTCTTGCTTCTTAGATGGGGGCTATAGCCCCTCAGGACCCTAACCCTAGACCTGCTTGGATGATTATCTGGGATTTTCTGTATTCCATTTAGGAGTATAGGCATGTATTCACTGCAGTGGTTTTTCTTAGATGATCTCAAAGTGTTGCTGTTGCTGCTGTAAGATAACTTGTTATTGAAAACATCTCTGTGGGCTCAATTCATTTTATTAGTTATTCTTATTTTATTAATGAATAAATTGAAGCAGAGTAAGTTTAATGACTTTTCCAAGAATGTAGAGTAAGCTGCTGTTGGAGCAGAGATTATAAACCAAGCCTGTGACTCAGTACTCTTGGTAGAGGAGTCATTAATGGTTACAACTGCTTTTTGGGGAATGTCAGAACTTGATTCTTGAAAATATCTGGCACATTCTTGCTCCCTTTTTATACCATTTCAATTGCCCTTGTCCATATTTTGGGGTGTTATTTTACTTTGAAACCAAAGTAAATTTTTCAAATTTGAATTTTTTTGTTATTAATTTTTGCTTTTACTGTCAATTATGTTTTCTTATTCTAAAACCATTAGTGGTATGCCTAGGTGTTATCCCCTCCATGGGATCCACTGCTAAAATCCAAACACATGACTGTGAACTTCTTTCCTGGCTCTACTGAGGAAGCCAGGAAAGCTAAGTGGAAAGACTATAATTGTATAGGCTTGGGTTTGAGTCCTGCCATTTTTGGTGCCTCAGTTTCCTCACCTGCAAAATGAGTATAATAATACCTACTTCAGAGGTTGTTGTAAATATTGATTGAGATGATATATGGAAGAGTATGGTACAGTGTTTGCAGGTAGTGATATTAAAATACACTCAATGAGGTGACGGTGAAATATGTATTATGCAGTGGTCTCCCAGCTAATTTAAGTGGCCAGTTTAAGGAGTTGAAATCAGGCATTTAAAAGAGGAAGATGCTATTTTCATATTCCTTTTATACAATCAGCTAATATGAAAGTGCCACACTTGCTGCTGGGTAATGCCCAGTGGATCTCATACAGAACTTCCAGAATAAGCCCATTTGGTGTGCGTCACCCCATACCTCCTCCAGATTGAACAAGTGTCACTATAGAAGACTCGAAAGCCCACAGGAATTCACCCGGCCAAACCACTGCCTTGACTAAATGCCTTCATTAATTCACTTGAAATTGGGAGACAGTGCTTACAAATGCTGCTAAGCAATTTCCTGTGAGGTGACAGGCAACATGTGAATGGTTGACTTGCTCTAAATTTGGTATTCAGCTCTTCTGTAACAGTGACTGTGTCCAGTAAGCACAAGAGGTCAGATATGAAATGGTTAGAAAACACCAGAATCCTGTCACAATGAAGTCAGAGATTTTGGCCCTGGGGAAAAGAAGGCAGGAGTTCCCCTCTTTGCATTCCCTCATAGGGAATGTCAATTTGATTGATTTGCTCACCGATAGTTAAATGCCCGCCTGTCTGTGTAACCCTAGGAAAACACTCCAGATGTTTGGGCAGTTTATTTAATGTCCATCTTTTATGCTTCTAATCATTGCCATTAATTGCTTTCCAATAGGTAATAGGATAGTAATTCATTGATGCTTCATACCCTCTGAGGTGGTAAAACACATCTATTCCCTCAGAAGAAACTGACCCAGAGATGTGAGGTACCTCTGCTCAGCTCACACAACCTAACCTACATTGCAGTTTATGGCAGGGAGCTTGTAGCTTCTCGGTGGCCATCAGCTTTGCTAGTTTCGGATGATTGACAGAAGTCAGACTCTTGTGCTCTAAGATGTGATAGGGGAGGGGCAGACTTTGGTTAGTAGGACCAGGTTTGTCAGTGTCCTCTTTAGGAGGGCATTAGGACAGTGCAAATTAGAACTGCTTAAAAGGTTTTTATCATTCACATGGATATCTGTCAGTTAACACGTGATGGCTTTGTATTGCATTTAAGAAGTGATCTATGATTCACATGTGGCTTTTTTCCCTACAGAGATTCAGTAAAATCATATTTGAGTCAGTAAATTTTGGAGCACTTACGTAGGCTTTATGGTCTAAGATAGTAACCAGGATGAGATTTTTAGCCAAAATATATTTTTGTCAGTGCCCTCTTCTGCTTTCATATTGCTTTTTCCCTACACATTTTATTGAAGTACAACATATATTCTGAGACAACAGGCACCTAGTGTACAGCTCAAGGAATTTTCGAAATACTGCCATGGAATCAGCAGGCATATCAAGAAATGGAACGGGACTAGCACCCTGAAAACTCCCCTCATGGCCCCTCCCAGCTACTACCTCCTCACGGGTAATTACTATCCCGACTTCTCACAACATCAGTTAATTGTACCTGTTTTTGAATTTTAAATAAGTGGAATTATACAGTACCTTAGCCAAATTATTTTTTCTTTTACCTAATTGGCATAAGTGAACTAAAGTGAACCAAACCATTTACCTCTGTTCCCATTTTGTCCTATTAGCTGACTTGGATTCGTTATTAATTGTAATCGAAGATGAATATTATTAGACAGTTTTGAGCTGTTCTAATTTAATGTCATTAATATGAAATCATGGAGCCTGGAGTTTTGTGAAGAATAAATGATGAAAAATAAAGAGGGGCCTCCCTGGTGGCGCAGCGGTTGAGCGCTGGGTTGCAAAGCTGCCTGCAGCCTCTGCAGCGCCGGTTCGATCCCCAGCTGCTCCCCAGCCACCGGAGGAGGGTCCCACATGGCACACAGACCTCTCCTGCCGCCCGCTGCTCCCTTCAGCAGTGTACTTCGGTCCTTCTGCCTGCTGCTCCCTGCTCTGGCTCTGGTGAATTCTCTCACCCTCCAGCCCTTCTGACTGTACCCAGTGCTTGTATAAATAAATAAACAAATAAATAAGTCTTTAAAAAAATAAAAAAAATAAAGAGGTGTGACTAAAGAAAAAGACTAAAGAAAGAGGGGTGCTTTTGACTCTCAATCGCATCTCTTACCTCAAGAATGAACCTACTTGATTCATCGCTGTTGTCATTAAAATAATTACTGTGGCTTGCAAATGCATGGATTTCTAATTGTGTGATTCATTAATGATAAAATGCAGAAGTGTGTGGCCCTTGGCTGATGTTACCTGTTTTATCTGATGCCATGATTCTTTGACTAAATCTCCAAAATATTCATTTGATTACAAAAGGGGAGACTGAGGTACTAAACTACTTAGCCATTTTCTCCAAGTCATTTAGGGGGCAAAGTTAAAATTGGAGGGCCTCCCCGGTGGCGCAAGGGGTTAAGCACAGCACTATGAAATTATCCCCAGTCACTGCAGCACAACTTAGATCCCCGGCCAGGGAGCTACCTACCCACTCAGTGCAGCAGATCTCTCCTGACTCTCCCGCTGCTCCCTCAGCAGTGTATTTCAGTCAGTCTGCCTGTTCTGTTCCCCACTCTGTCTCTGGTGAATCCTCTCACGCCCCCCCCCCCACCTCTGGCCTACACCCCAGTTCTTGTATACATAAATAAATAAATCTTAAAGATTTATTTATTAAAAAAAGTTAAAATTGGAATTTAGGTTATCTTAGGAGTTCCAGCCCAGAGTTATTGCTGGATGAGGGTCTTTGATTAAATGGTTTTGCAATATTTGACTAAACCCTCCTCTTTCTTGCTTCTTTTCCCTGCATGCGAACTATGGTTGCAATGGTAAGGAAACAGATCTAATAAAGTGCCAGAGACTTTTTTGGAGAGTGAGTCAGTCAACTCTCTTTATTCTTACTATCAGCACCATTAAAGTCTTTAGAGACCTGTTTACTATAGACTCAAGACACAGTGACCTTCTATTGTTAGAATCGAGGTGGCCCAAACCAAGCTTTGATGGGTTTGGCAGTAGGCTCCTTTGACATCTCCATCCTCCTCCAGAAGAGAAACAATAAGGGACTTCCTATGATGTGAAGACTCCATCCAAGTTTAGTCCCATCTGTAACAACCTAAGCAGTGCTTTTCTGGAGTCCTGCAGCATAGATGTTTTCTGTACCTACTCAGTTTTGAACTAAAGATTTATGAAATGGTTTATCCTCCTGCAGTTTCCTTTTGAGAAAAGGAGGAAAGAGGTAACTAACTGCTGCATAAAAATATCCACAGTGGCAGTTTAAGAGGTTAGATAAATTGAAAAAGTAATAGGGAGTTAGGTCAAATGGGGAAGAAAAAAGATCAAGTAGAACCTGATTTAAGACCTGGAATTTGGCCCCAGGCTACAGATTCTACTATAGTATAGATAACAATCTATTCTTTTTTTTTTTTTAAGTTTTTTTTTTTAATTTTATAGAGGCATGTTTATTTATTTATGTATTTATTTATTTGCTTGTTTTGTTTATACATGCACTGGGTACAGTCAGAAGCGCGGGAGGGTGAGAGAATTCACCAGAGCCAGAGCGGGGAGCAGAGCAGGCAGAAGGAGCGAAGTACACTGCTGAGGGGAGCAGCGGGCGGCAGGAGAGGTCTGTCGCGCCATGTGGGACCCTCCTCCGGTGGCTGGGGAGCAGCCGGGGATCTAACCGGTGCCGCAGAGGCTGCGGGCAGGTCCGCAAACCAGTGCTCAACCGCTGCGCCACCGGGGAGGCCCGATAACAATCTATTCTTGAATGATGAGTGATTAGCCCTAGCCAAAAAGGGAGCATTTCCAGAAGTCATTCAGCCAGCATTTGGAAGTCTTCCCCCACCTCCAATTATGTTTATTGAGGTCAAGTAGGTTTAAATCTTTGTATCTGCTCCGAGGTTTATATGCTCAAACCTATATAAACATATTGACTCCAACTGACTCTAAGAAACTCATTTTGCCTCCTGTGTGCATCATATCACAAGCTTACACTTAGGATTTACGAATTCCCTCTTGGGAAGCTTTATATTGCTAATTAGAAATGGTCCTTACTTAAAACTGTCAAGGAAGTCTCTTGGGTCCAGATTTCTTTCCCTAGTTCCCATTGTGCAGACGGGGAGAGAGTGCAGGTGGCATCTAGGTTAATGGTGAGAGGAAACCCAGAGGCTTCTCCCCTACCACCAGGTGCTCTGCTGTAGGTCTGGCTCAGTCCAGCTCATGGTTCTACTCTGCCTACTAGTCAACCTCTCCTAATTTTCTTCTGAAGATACCTGAATTAACCTACAATGGGACAAGAAAGAATGACTAGCTTTGTGTTTCCTTACATGCTCATGAACATGGTAGAGACAGTTTCAAGGGGAAATTTTAAATAAAGACAGGATCTGACATGGTCTGTATTAGAAAGAGGTGACTTAGGGTGGGTCAGGAATATTATTTACCTTGATCAATGAGTGGTTTTGGTGCCTTAGTTCCAGTCCTGCTCAGGAGAATGAACCAACCTCAGAGAGGTCAAATTGTTACAGAGCAAGATGAGGGGCACTCTGGGACCCCTAAACCTGCATGCTCTAAATGGATTCTGCCATCCACTGCATAAAGACAAACATACTCTTAATGTGTAAGGCCTTCAATAGAAAATAAGTTTAATATAATTAATACAATTACTGTGCAATAAAGAGAAGAGAAAGAAGATAGTTTAAAATAGTTGCCAATGAAACACCCAAAGTTACCCGTCCCCTCATGGGTATATGCTCAGCCAAACAGGGTTGACCCAAAGCAGGGCCACTGAGGCCTGAAAGCTTGCCACAAGTCTAAGGGACCTTCTGGTGGAGACCCATAAGAAAGGGGCATACGGGGCCAGGGTAGTCTGGAAGGAAAAGAGCAAAAGCAAGATCCAAGTCAAGATCAAGGCTGCCATTGGCAGCCTCCCCTTGGGTCTCTCACCCATGTCTCTGTCTCTTTCAAGTGTCTCCTTCCATGTCCCACAAATTCCTGGTACAAGTCCAGGCTCAAGCAGCACAACTATCGAGCAGGGTCGAGCAGCATTTCACTAAACTATCACTCTTATAACAATCCTCTTAAAGGATTGTTTCATGCCACTCACGGTAATAATTCTATGAAATAAAGGTACATTCACTAGTCCAGAAGTCAGAAAAGTGACTTAATATTTGTTCCAAACCTACAGTGTGTGAGCACTATTCTAAGTGCCAGAAGCTTCTGATTGGTCAAGTATTCTTTGATTATCTCACTGAACATCAGACTGATTTTTGTCTCACTATATTTTTTTTTTTTTTTTTTTTTTTTTTAAATTTTCTAGAGGCATGTCTTATTTATTTATTTATTATTTGTTTGTTTGTTTGGTTTATACATGCACTGGGTACAGTCAGAAGCGCGGGAGGGTGAGAGAATTCACCAGAGCCAGAGCAGGGAGCAGAGCAGGCAGAAGGACCGAAGTACACTGCTGAGGGGAGCAGCGGGCGGCAGGAGAGGTCTACGCGCCATGTGGGACCCTCCTCTGGTGGCCGGGGAGCAACCGGGGATCGAACCGGCGCCGCAGAGGCCGCGGTAGCTTCGCAACCCAGCGCTCAAACCGCTGCGCCACCGGGGAGGCCCTGTCTCACTATATTTTAAAGATATATAAGGGTTAACATTTGCCTACATTTTTATTTCTCTATTTGCCCAGCATGCTCTTTTCTTTTTTATTTGTACAAATTCCACAAACATAAACTCCAGTTCAGCTCTTTTTCTGAAGTCTCACAGATTCCAAAAATTGAGGAAATTCAATTTAGTCTTAGCCATCCTGGGTCTGTGACTTGTTTCCATTTTGTTGATATTCATATGCATTAGGGTTTGGACAACGCAGGCCTTGGGGGATGTGGATGTGGCTAGTCCCTACCAGTTTTTATGGATACAATAAATTTTCTTTTAAATTATTAACGTTGCTTATGATTAAAAATCAGAAAAAAATTTCAACTATGCAGCCAAATTGTCTTACCTTTTGTGCTGTTCCTAAGGTTTCAATCACTGGGATGGCAGCAGTTGCTTTCCTCTTTTCTTATCCTATTAACACAGCTTTACCTTACAGAATGCAGTAAAAAAATGAGACATCCTTGCAGGTGTGGAAAAGAATGGCAGGGAAGGAAGGAGGCCTTCCTTGTGTTATCTTCAATCCAATGTTAAAATCATGATTAACACAGCCATTTCCTATGGTATTCCACTCTAGAAACGTGCCTACAAGAGCTATGTTCGCGCGCTCCCGCTGCTGAAGAAGTTGGGGATCAATTCCATTCTCCTCCGCAAAAGCATTGGTGCTCTGGAGGTGGCCTGCGGCATCGTCATGACCCTTGTGCCTGGACGCCCCAAAGATGTGGCCAACTTCTTCCTCCTCTTGCTGGTGTTGGCCGTGCTCTTCTTCCACCAGCTGGTGGGTGATCCTCTCAAACGCTATGCCCATGCCCTGGTGTTCGGAATCCTGCTCACCTGCCGCCTGCTGATTGCCCGAAAACCGGAAGACCGGTCTTCTGAGAAGAAGCCCTCGCCCAGGAATCTGGGGAAAGCAGGAAGTGCTGAGGAGCAGCCCTCCTTATACGAGAAGGCCCCTCAGGGCAAAATGAAGTTGTCCTAGGAAAGCAGACGTGCAAAAAGTGGACCTTCCAGCCAGTTGCCTCCATGATACCCAGGAAGATGTCAGTGTGTGTTTTTCATTTGATTTATTTATCTTGAGGGAAAGAGAAAAATGTAAGCTGCAAGTTCATGGCCCTTTGGCTTGTGTCCGCCTATACCCTAAAATGACCTCCTCACGTAGACATGTGTGCACCACCTTTAATCACTCTGGACCAATTCTCACATCTTGCTGCATGTACATGTATACGGCTAACTATTGAAGTGTTTTTTTGTGAGATGGACTCCAGCAAGCATGTGACTGTGAGATTACGTACGTGTGAGAAAATGTATTTATTGTGTGTGTGCTCGCGCACATGCACACAGATATGCACGTGCGGAGGAGAAAGCTCTGATCTTGAACTAATCCTACATAGGTACCCTTCCCTTTGTAGATGGTTGCTAGTGAAGGCAGAATACAATAAACCTCCTATAAAGAGAATCCTACTCCTGGTATAAATACGGGATACAGTCCCATGAGGTAGGGGGGAATCCTTCAAGAAATTAAGCTGAAAACCACTTTAGGAAAAAGTTCCTTCAATTTGAGACACTGACTTATCTGGGAAATGAATTAGCCTCTACTTTGACCGTTGTTTCAATTTTAAATACTCCACAGTGAGTTTAACTGAAGCAAGGGATATATGAAACCAATAATTAAGTATTCAAGTGATTAAATTAAAAGGTATCACCTTGCCACTGTCCAGGCCCAATTTACTAAGCTCTTTTACTCACAGTTTGAAACTGAAGTATAAATTTGTTACCAGGCATCTCTTTTGGATTTTCTTCAGCCAAAAGCTGCCTCACTTCCACCGCTCTCAGCAGCTAACCAGGATTTGGCAGCTGCTCCACTGTTACCATTGGAGGGAGCAGGGATTAGTCCTGTTAAAAGTCTGTGAATCTCAAAAGCTAGCTGTTCTCTTAAGTCATCTGAAATTTGACAGAGGAGCTGTATCCAGTGTTTCTCAGCCAAACAGATTCACTACTCCTATTGAATCTTCACTGAACTTTGCTAGTGTAAGCTGATCCAGGTTACACGCCCCCCCAAGGGGTTTCTCCTCTATACCTCTTTATCATCCCGTTGGGTGGAGTTTAGTTTAGGAGGGGGAAGGACTCTTGAAATGGGTTAGTTGGATTGGGCAGTATGAGAATTTGCTTTCTTCATTGCATACTGCTGTTTCTCCTTGTTAGATGTGCTTTGATGGTTTTAATATTATTGTGCCAGGGATGGGGAAAGGGGTGGGGGTATTATGTGTGTGGGGAGTATAATTTATTGTGTTTTCTTCAGTGTCATTGTTCTTGTTAATTGGTACTTCTGTCTTATTTAGCTCATTCTTTCAAAATAAAAATTTTTGAAATTTGGAGGAAACTGGACAAATAATGAAAATCTGGAAAGAAAGGCTCATAACGAGGAATTCATGTTGTTTTTTTTTTTGAGTCTGGATGAGAGAGAAGAAAGCTAAGGGGGAGTGCAATCACTGAATATACCATTGTGGTTACTAACTTTCCCGTCTCATTTAAGTTCACTCATACTTCTGTGATGTCAGCACATAGGCCAGAAAACCATAGAATTAGGATCTCAATACAAAAATTTCCAAGTTAATTATTCACTAGGTAATGCTGAGGGAAAATGGAAGAATGATTTCTGGAAAAAAAAAACCTGCAGTTATATTAAATAAAGGTGAACCACAGTCTTTCACTATATATGTGCCCACAAAGTGGCACAAGTCCACTGCCACAGACTTGTCACATTTAGGCAAGTTATTTCACCACTCTGGGCGTCAGATTCATCATCTGCAAAGAAGAAAGGAAATGAAAACTTAAAATCCCCTGCAAATTTACATTTTAGTCTATGAAATGATTAAAAGTATGAAAAATGACTCGAGAAAATGTCGGTTTTACTAGATAGGAAGAGCAGGTATTATATGCAATTCTCATGTGTGGTTAAGAGTTGCCTCAAGTACTTTGAAAACATAAATATAAGATGTGGTAAATGTCACTTCTGCTGTAGTCTTTTCCAAACCCATCAACTTAATCTTTGATTCTTCATCTTTCTGTAAGATTGCAAAATTTCCTCTATAGTATACTGTTAAAATATCTTTTGACCTCCCCCCAAATCAGTGGAAGTTGTTAAATTTATCAGAAATTTGTTCTGATTTCTACTCTAGTAAGTGGTTAAACTAGGAACTAAGCTCAGGTCTCACGCCCTTTTTGCTGTTTTAATGAATTTCTTTAAGATCCATTGATTGCTCAAGATTAGGAATCTTAACATGCTCCTCGTCAGCTACATGCAAGGTGCCACATCAAACTGAAGACACCTGTTTCTAGCAAATCCTGGTAGGTAGGCGCGCCCCTCCTCGGTAAAAGGAGGCAGATCAGCTACACTTTCCTCCCATCCCTAGCTTAACAAGGGGAAAGTGACAGCTTCAGAAGTCATAAACCTTTTTATCTTCGTCTCTCCCCCAGCATGGGAGAAGTAGCCTTTACTGGGAAGTTCGCAGTTTTATATTTTCCTACGAAGTCCCGACAGCTGAGGTCAATCTGAACAAAATGATCACTATAATTGACCTTGTTAAATTCTAGACTCGAGCCATTCATTGCCCCGTTTTACGCAAAATGACGAATGCGAACATTATTAGAACGGAGCACCAGCTAGCCAATCAGTCAGCTCCAGCAGCAACGGCCCACTGGCCGCGCGTCCCGGCTCGGGCGGGAGGGGCTGGCAGTTCTCCGGAATTCGATCTGCGTCAGCGACGGCGCGCGCACCCGCCTCCTCGCGCCATTGAGCTGCAATGCAACCAATCAGGCTTCGGCACAGAGAGAAGCTCCGCCCAATCACCGCCTGGGTCTCCGCGGAAGCGCATGCGCGGGGTGGGGCCGGCTTTTTTGAATTCGGGAAGCGGTGTTCCAACCGTGCAGATTCAGGGACCAAGGAGTGTTCTAGGTGAGGTACTTTTCAACTCCGCGCGAAATGGGGCCTTGGAGTGCGGAGGGCATCTTCTGACGTCTGAGCAGGGCTGTTCTGCCAGGTGTGGCTGAGGCCGGGTTTTCCTCAACCGGGGAATCTGCCCCGGGGGGGGGGGAGGGTCAGTTGTCGGGGACAAATTTACTCCTTGCTCTGGCAGGCTAGGAAAGGGGTTCCTTGGGAAGCGTCATGGATGGGGTCAGAAGCTGCTGGCCCGCCAACCCTCCTTTCGTTTGTAGAACCTTAGGACCTCAGCTCTAAACCTGGAACTTCCCAATGGGCAGGACGTCAGTGTCGCTTTCCTGCTCTGACTGTTTATGAGTGGTGGGACTGGGAAAGTCATTGCGATCGTTACCTTAATTTTTCCCATTTGAAGCCCAAAACTTAAAAGTTGTTGTGGGTTCTTCTCTTCCTTTCCCCCTGTAACCAATTATTTTATCATGGCTTGCCCAGTCTGCCCCCAAAGCTATCAGAATACAGCTTCCTCCTCTAACACCAGTGTACCTTAGGTCTAGTCATCTCTCCTTTGTGGACTTCTGCAAGTTACCACGTCTTCACCCCTAACATTCTGTTCTCCTCCGCACTGCAACTAAAACGGTCTTAAAACATAGATGGTATCACCCCCATCGCTAACATTCCACCCATCACCGGTGACTAGCCATGAATCCAAACCCCTTCCTCTGACCTACAAGTTCCAAAATGATCTAGTCCCTGGCTACCTTTCTGATTTCATCTCCCACTACCCTCTACCTCCTCCATGTCACTCCCTTACACTCCCCCCCCCCATACTGATGTTGCTGCTGTTGCTCCAACACACAAGCTTTTGCTTTAAGGTCTAGCATGTCTTGCTCTTCAATAGCCAGGCAATACTCTTCCACCTTATCTTTACATGACTGATTCCTTCTTGGCATTCAAATCTCAGTTTAAAGATAGCATCAGAAAGACTTTCTTTGAACACTTCTGCCAAAGTAGCTTCTCACCCTCATTTCTATCACGTCACTGTGTGTTACATTCACAAATAGTTATTAACTTATTTGCTGATTTCCACACTTCCCTATTCCCCCCACCCATAAGTTTCATGAGAGTAGAGACCTTGATTGTTTATTTTATCCCTGGTAACTAGAAATGTGCTTGGCATATAAATGATGGTCAACATCTATAAACCAGAGACACACTACAGAGGGAGAGTAGGATCAAAACAAGGGGGGGGGGTGGGAATTGTATGGGGACTATAACCAAGATGAAAATGCATACATTGTGCAAAAATGAAAAATGATGTAAAAATATATAAAATTAAAAAATAATAATAAATAAATTTAAAAAATATTTATTGAACAAGCGAAACAGGAATGTTTCTGTCCTGAGAATCCTTGCCTTGTTCACCATAGTTCAATTTTGAACCATGCAGCTTTACCTTAACACAAGGTAGGGAACGTAGAAGATCAAAAGCAAAATCAAGGTGGGGTGAAGAAAAATAGGAGTGATGGAGAAAGTAAGCTTGAGTTCATGGATTAGTTTTGGTCTTGCTTTTATGATCGAGTCATTTTTTTTTTTTTTATTTATTTATTTTGTTTGTTTGTTTGTTTTGTTTATACATGCACTGGGTACAGTCAGAAGCGCGGGAGGGTGAGAGAATTCACCAGAGCCAGAGCGGGGAGCAGAGCAGGCAGAGGGACCGAAGTACACTGCTAAGGGGAGCAGCGGGCGGCAGGAGAGGTCTGCGCGCCATGTGGGATCCTCCGCCGGTGGCCGGGAAGCAGCCGGGGATCGAACCGGCGCCGCAGAGGCCGCGGGCAGCTTCGCAACCCAGCGCTCAACCGCTGCGCCACCAGGGAGGCCCTATGATCGAGTCATTTTAAGAGAACTTGTTGTTACCTGTACGCTTTCTGTTTTTTTCTTTTCTTTTCTTTTTTACCCTGAAAGGTCAGTTCATCTGGGGAATGTTACCTTGAAGAGATGTTTCTCTATCCTATTTAGGTCAAGGATTTCTTGAGAAAGTTAACCTATAGGTTTTGTTGCCTGGTTGCTTGTCAGTTCTTTCAATGAGAGCTCGGCTATGCTAAGTAGTGTGTACTAAATGCTGGGAATACTAAATACAGGTAGATAGGGCCCTTGTCTTTGTGGAGTAAAAAAAGACGACTTGACTGATTAATGGTACCTTGACACTTGTTTCTGTATATAACAGATGCAGTAATGTCATCTCAAAGGAGAGTTAAGAATTCTCAAGCTCAAAAGAGGACTTCACGAGGTAACAATAGTTATCAGACTAATCTCTCAGCCTGGAAAGTAAACGAGCATCTAAGCAACTCAAAGAGCAGTTCGAAACAGAGACGGAGCAATCCTGTGGAAGTTCATGAACATGCAGATGATGAAACAGAAGATGCTCTCCAAACAGCAATGAGGTACTTTGAGGCAGGTAAGACAGATTCATTTCTTATGCAATCGATTGCTATGAAAATATTCTTGACTTTCTTCGTAAGGATTTTCACAAGAAAGCATATTTTTTCTCCTTCATGCTTTTGTTTATTTTATTTTGTTTATTTATGTTTTTGTTTATTTATTCCTAGGTACTGGGAATATAACAACAAAGCATGTTCCTGGCAGAGTGGTTTCCAAACTGATGCAAATTGTGATTACCTGAGATTCTTTTAAAAATACTGATGCCTGGCATCTATTCTTAGACATTCTGATTTTACTGGTATGGGATGCAAGACGCCCTAGGTGATTCCAGTTTGCAACAATGTTTGGGAGCCACTACCCCTAGTATTTTCTTCCATTGATTGAGGTTATATCGGTTTATAACATTGTATCACTTTCAGTTATACAGCTTTATACTTCCACATCTGTACAAGCTACACTGTAACCACCACCAATAGTCTAGTTTCTATCTACCAACTATGTTAGACTCCCTTTGCCTATTTTGTCCCTCCCTGCCCTTCTTCCCCTCTGATAACTGCCATTCTGAAGTCAGAAGCTAAACTCCATTGCCCTGATTATTTAGAGCAGTGATGCAAGGGCACGATTCAGTTTTCCTCAATGGAGGTGCTATTACTGTTAAATATTTTAGAATTTTAACGACTTTGAATGGTTTTTAGGAAGGCAGTTTTTACCTAAAACTATTCCTTTAGAGCATCCCAGATTGTAATTATTGAGACTGAAGACTGAAATAATTTTAAAGGTCCCATTATTTAATGTTGTTCCTTTTTCCAGGTCCCATTAAAACTGCAAAGACTAAAGATAAAACCTTGGAAAAACACTTGAAAACTGTGGAAAATGAGGCTTGGAAGAATGGGTTAGCTCCAGAAGGAATTGACATTCTATTAAATGTGGCACTCAGTGGCAAATTTGGTATGTCAAAGGGATACATTTGTCATCAGTTTGCTATTAGTTCTGCCTTACAGACTTTGAATTAGATTGTTCCTTGGAATCAGTTACAAGTCTTTATATGTTCCTTTCTCATCTTAAGACCAATCTGGAGGGCCTCCCCAGTGGTGCAGCGGGTTGAGCGCAGCGCTGTGAAGCTGTCCACAGCCTCTGCAGCGCAGGTTCGATTCCTAGCCCGCCAGGGAGATTCCCACATGGCACAGCAGACCTCTCCCATCATGCCCACTGTTCCCCTCAGCAGTGTATTTCAGTCATCTGCCTGTTCTGTTCCCCGCTCTGTCTCTGGTGAATCCTCTCACCCTCCCTCGCCTCTGGCCTTTACCCTAGCTCTTGTATAAAAATAAATAAAACTTTAAAAAAAAAAGACCATTCTGGAGAGATCATAAAATGGATCTTGTGTTCCACCTACTTTGTGAGGCAAAAGTTTTGTGTGCATATGTTGAAAGTGGCTAGTTACCACATATCTTTACAAGGAAGATGTGTAGACTCTAGTCACCAAGTATATGGGAGTCATTTTTAGTATTTCTCTTAAGCAGTATAGGTTGTGATTTAAATTAGGCTTTGGAAGGCACTTTAAAGTGCCTTTAGGCTCATTTATCTATGACAAGTCACTATTTAAACTGTTTCCATTCCAGTATCAGTGACCTTAAAAGTCAAGATGCTTTTCCTTTTGTGCAAATGCTCTCTTCTTGTTCTAAGTTCATTTAGAACTGAGTGGAGAGGAGAGGTTTTTAAAAATAACATCTGGCCAGTATTCTTTTTATTTGAGAAGAACCTTTTAATCTACTGTTACCTAAATTCGGATTTGGAAGTTATTTTAGGCTCCTAGCATCCTCATTTTAAAGATGGGGAAACTGAGACTCAGAGTAGTTAAAGAGACTTGCTTAATGCTAGTGCTGGAACTGAAGAATTCAGAGAGCTCCTAACTCCACTTCTAGTGTTTATACTGTACCACACAACTACTAGCTTTTCTACTTTAAAAAAAATTAACACAGATATCAAAACTGGATGTTTTATATACTATTTCCTGGTCCTTGCAGGGGTTCCTTTGTGTAAACCCTAGCTTCATGTTTGCCAGTGTGCTTGTGCATTTTAAAACAAACAGTACTAGTGAATTCAGTATATGACTTCTAAGTTTATTTGTTATCTGTGTTTTCATAGGAAGCTCAATTTGACCTAGTAAAATTGACTTCTTGTCAGTGGTTTCAGATTGTTTGGTTCTGAAATCTTTCCAGAATCTTTGTTTCGCTAATCAGTGTTTATTGAGAACAGTTCTGTCACCCACCTTTCCTCTTAAAAAACTGTATACAATGTACAACTGTTTTCTGTTTTGGAATTTCTCTTTCCTTTTTTGATGTCTCAGAAACCAGTGGTTAGAAGGGTTTGATAAAATTTCCCAGGGCTTGTAGCAAAGGCATATTTCTTTCAAATGGCATGCTTCAGACTTGGAAACTTGTATGCAACAATTTTAAAAATAAACTCTGGCTTTCTGGTCTGACTTTTCTGTTAAGCCGGAATTTGCTGAGGTCAAATGTGGTCTTCTTCATTGATGTTCTCCGCTTTAGTTTTTCTGTGGTATCCCCCGTCACTACTACAACTTTACATGTCGCTCACTGTTACATTGAATTGTATATTCAGGGACAAGTGTGATAGAAATGTAACCAGAAATAAATTTAAAAGACTCCATGAAGTAAGAAGAGTCTGTTGAATCCCTCCTTTTGGTTTGGTGCCTGTGTAAAGTGTTAGTGGTGAGACGTTCTTAAACTTTGAAAGGGTTAAGGGGTGAGGTGAGGGGAGAGAGAAATAAAAACAAGAAATTACAGAGTGGAAAGCAGAGATTTTGTTCTTGTGATTCATTACCTGCCATCACTGCTTCCTTTCTTCACAGAGTCATAGGGTAGTCATTGATGAGTATTGTTATTGCAGTTATGTAGAATGAACAAGCCTAGCGACCTAATGTATGGCATGAGGACTGTTGATAATGTACTAGAAGTTTGCTGAGAGAGTTGATTTCAAGTGTTGTTTTTTTTTAAAGATTGATTTATTTATTTGTTTGTTTATTTATACAAGCACTGGGTACAGTCAGAAGGGCGGGAGGGTGAGAGAATTCACCAGAGCCAGAGCGGGGAGCAGAGCAGGCAGAAGGACCGAAGTACACTGCTGAGGGGAGCAGCGGGCGGCAGGAGAGTTCTGCGTGCCATGTGGGACCCTCCTCCGGTGGCCGGGGAGCAGCCGGGGATCGAACCGGCGCTGCAGAGGCTGCGGGCAGCTTCGCAACCCAGCGCTCAACCGCTGCGCCACCGGGGAGGCCCGATTTCAAGTGTTTTTACCACACACAGGAAGTGGTTACTATATGAGGAGATACTGTGTTAATTAGCTTGGCTAGATTAATCATTTCACTATGTATATCTATCAAACCATCTTATTGTGTACCTTAAATATATACACTTATTTAAAAAATAAGTGAAGAGACCTCCTTACTCTCAGAGGTAGGAAAAAGGCACACAGATGTTTCTGAAACTGCTACTTGCAGAAGTTAAGAACAGTGTCATTCAGTGAATGGATGTGGCCACCATACTCTAATGCATATAAAACAGTGTTTAAAGACTGGGATAAAATGTTTCTAAGAATACTACTTGCAGAGACAGTGAGAATAGTGATTATAGTGAATGGATGTGATTGCCATGCTATAATTCTTGTAAAACAGTAGTTAAAGGCAGAGTATCAAGATGCTCTGAGAATTCTACTTTGTGGCTTTGTTGTTTCAATGAATGGCTGTGATCACCATGTTATAATGCAAACAAAACAATGTTAAATATTAAAATTGATGAGATCCATATTTAATTCTGAAGCCTCAATAAGTAGTCAATACAGAGTGTATACAGAGTTATCCTTTGCAATATCACATCTATTGCTATAAAGAGAACACCATGGAAATCAGAGAATATGATGGAAAGGTTGGACCAATCTAGAATGCTATCACTGCCAACTAATTCCAAGGACAGTTGTTTCATTCTGCTTTCCTCCTATTTTTTTTTTTTGACAGAAGGTGGAGGTGGGAGGGATGGAGTATACAAATATATTTGTTCTTAAATGTAGCAGCTCATGCAAGATGTCTGTCATTAACATTAAATAAAGAGGATCTATTGTGCCATTAAAAAATCACAAAAAAATCATTGACATTTTCCTGAGTAAAAGACTTTTCTAAAAGGTATAATTCATATACCGTAAAATTCACCGTACTGAGTAAGCATGTAATTCAGATTTTTAAAACATATTCAGAGTTGTACAACCATCATCATTATCTAACTCCCAAACATTTTCACCATCCTTTTATATAGAAATATTAGAGGAAAGAATTTGCTTTATAGTCTGTATTAGAAGGTAGAGGTACATTTTGTTTTGAGCTATGTTTTGTAATGATGATAAGAGATACTGAATGTTACTGTTCGTTTTTATTGCCTTCAGCATAAAGTGGGATTTTTAGGACCAAGAGTGAGTAGTAGTAAGGGAACAATTGGGATACTAAAATGTAGTTTAATTTAGAGTTCATCTTCTTTCCAGGGACTGCTGTAAACACTCGAATGTTAAAGTGCACGATTCCAGCAACTCTAATATCAGAAGACTCTGTGGTTAAGGCAGTCTCCTGGCTTTGTGTTGGCAAGTGTTCTGGTAGCACCAAGGTAATCTTTTTAAACATTTTGATGATAAGTCCTTCAGAACCACTTAAGGGCTGGCAAGGAAGAGCCACTTATGGAATAATGGCAGTGGCCTTTTGTGTAAAGCCTGTAGTTTTGGAACAATACAGCTTGATGCAAGGACTCTGGAACAAACAGAAATTTTTACTCAGAGAATCTATTTTCCTACTTTGTGCTGAAACAGCCCTGGGCGGGGGGGAGTTAAGCTCTTACATGCCAGTTATATTTCTCTAAAGATAAGCATTTTGTTTCTTGATAGGTACTTTTTTATCGTTGGCTGATTGCAATGTTTGACTTCATAGATCACAAGGAGCAACTTAACTTGCTCTATGGCTTCTTTTTTGCTTCATTGCAAGATGACACACTGGTAAGTAAAAATTGGACAGCATAAGGCATTGATCAAATGGCATGTGCTTGTATATTGATGCAACATATGTTCTTTAAAGTGCCACACAATGTGTCTCTCCTTATTTCTTTTAAAATATATCAAACATATAGAGAAGTATAAAGAATAATATAACATCCTTGCACCTGTCTCTCAGATTAACAAATATAAAATTTATACTATCTTTGCTTTATATCTTCTTGTAAGGAAGTAAAATTACAGATGGAATTGTCTCCACATTGGACTCTGTGCTGATTTAGTGCAGTGATTGCCATCTTTTCCCTTTTAAACCACTTCAGCAGGATCCTTTGGGTCACTTACTCTACATTTTCTTGATTAACACTGCAAAAACCTCATCAGAATTAATGAGAAGGAGAGGATTGCTTTTCATGAGATGCCAGTGGACTGATTTGGATTAAATAGTGTAATTATTCTCATTGAAAACATTAATAACTATGAAATCAACCTACTGTCCATCCGGAAGACTTTCAGGAACCATCAGTATTTCCTCTTACTTTTGGGAAAGGAATTCATTCACTGATTTCATTTTTAAAAACCAATGTTTCTACGTTTGTTGTGTTGTAGATGACTTAAAGTTTAGAAGAGTTTCCATATTCCAGGGATTTATAATCCAGTTGGGGGTTTAAGACAAACACAGAAAGTTAAAATAACAACTCAAGAGTTAAATTAGCAAAGACAGTATATGATAATGCTATGTATGATACTTCCAAGAAGGAAGAGAGTACTGTGAACCAGTGACTAGAAAAAGCATTACTAAATCATATGAACATTGAGCTGAGCCTTGAAGGTTGAATAGAATTTAAAATTTGATGAGAGGAAATGTTTGATATGGCAGAAATTTTTCAAGCAATGTTATGAGATATATAAATTGTGTTTCAGGAGATCTTGAGTAGATCAGACTGACTTCATTAGAGTGGTGCCAGGTGGTGGGTGGGGGTAACACCGAAAAAGTTGGATGAGATTGTAGAGATCTTTGAATATAATACAAAAAAATTTGATTTTATTCTCTAGTCAGTGGGGAAATCACTAAAGATTTTTGGGCAGAAGATGTTGCAAGTAGCATTGTAGGAAGTTGTATCTAGTATTATCAAACAGGGTAATTGAGGAGAAGGGCTAGAGTCAGGAAGACTACTTAGGATACTGATGTGATAATCCATATAAAACATTGATGAAGCCCTAAACTATCAGTGCTCAGATATGGTATTGTGAACTTCAGGAGACCCTTTAGGAAGTCTGAGAGGTCAAAATTATTTTCACAGTAATATCAAGATGTTCGTTGCTATTTTTATTATATTGACATTTATACTGATGGTGCTAAAGCAGTGGTGTATAAAACTGCTGGCACCTTAGTACAAATCAAGTCAGTGGCTCCAAACTTTACTAGTTGTCATTTTCTTCACTGCAGCAAAAAGCAAAAATGCTAGTTTTTCTTAAGAATGCCCCACATGAAGCAGTAAAAACTAATTTATTAATTTTAGTAGATTTTGAACTTTGAGACATGTGTTTACTATTTCCTGTGATGAAATGGAAGAAAAACAAGCCCTTCTTTTTAAATATTTTTTTTAACTTTTTTTAATTTTATATATTTTTTACATCATTTTTCATTTTTGTACGATGCATGCATTTTCATCTTGGTTATAGTCCCTGTAAAATTCCCCCCCTTCTGAAGGCTTTCAAATACAATAGTTGTCCTAAGGGAAAGCACTGTGCAATTGCATAGCAAGCTAAACTAGCTTCTGTTTTTCTTAATAGAATACCATTTTTTTTTTACTTGAAAGATTGACATATAAACTATGGTTATTCAGATTTGGCTATTTGATAGATGTTTTGTTGAAAATGAGCAAAGTGAGTCTGTCATTCCAAAGTGGCAGTATTTGTTGCTAGTGATAAAAGTTGAACTTTCAAACAAAAATTACATGTTCAGAAAATTTGTGTCTGCCACTGTGAACTCGATGGCTTCCCAATACTTAAAGACTTTTCTGATGAGATAGGTGGTGATATTATTGAATGCTGTTTTTAGATAATTATATAATGAAATGTGTCAATATTTGGAAGCATAGTATAACTTAGTGAAACAATATTTTCCAGATGACTGAGCATTATGTTACAAAATCATGCATGATTAAAAGACCCACTCAAAATACAAGATATATCAATGAGTTTTAATGGAACAGAATACCAAAAGAGTTCATTAATAACATTTCAGATTCCACATTGCTGCTAACCCTTCATGGACAACCACTTATCAAATTTTGGTGTAGAATCAAAGAGTAATACACACACTTTTTTTGAAAGGTTATTAAAATATTCCTTCACTTTTAACTACATATCCACGTGAGGTTGAATTTTCTTCATGTACGTCAATAAAAACAACACATCGAACAAATTTAATGCAGAAACAGAATCTATTAAGCCAGAAACATTAAAGAGATATGTAGAGTTGTAAAAGTGAAATTGATTATTTTTGTTTGGGAAATACAGTTTTTTTCATGAAATGTTATATTAGCATGTAATAATTTATTTTTAATGAGCTAAACATTTAAATTTCTTAGTTTTAATTTCTGATAATGATTTATACAATCCAGATAAACAAAAGCTCAAAGTGGTCCTCTAATTTTTAAGAGTGTAAAGGGTCCTGAGACCAAAAAGGTTGAGAATCACTGTACTAGGCTAAGGGGGTAGCAGTGGGAATGAAAAATGGAAGAGCAAATATTAGGGTAAACTGTAAAGGAAGACTTTGTGTGACCAGATGTCTCAGCTGAATTTAGGGAAGAGTTAGGAGATAAAGATTTGAGTTTCTAAGGCTGCATGACTGAGAATGATGATACCTTTGACAGTAAAAAAAACTTGTGAGGAGATACTTTTGGAATGAATATATTTGGATTTTTATGTGCAAGGTTTGAGGTTATAAGGTATCCTGAAGAAATTTACTCAGAAAGATACTTACTAACTCCATTTCATGTCAGCTATTGCACTACTACTAGAAATGCAAATGTTAAATTTGGTATGTACATTCCCCTGAATATTATGATCATGGAAAATGATAATTGTGAAGACCAAACAACCTGGGGATAAGCTTTATTTTTAAAAAAAGATTTATTTATTTATGCATACAAGAACTAGGGTACAGGTCAGAGGTGTGTAGGGGTAGTGAGATTCGCCAGAGACAGAGTGGGGAACAGAACAGGCAGATTTTTTTTTGAGGATCTTATATCAATAACACTTACATGTTGCATTTATTTGCTTTTTTAAATTATTTTTTAATTTTTTTTTTATATTCACCATACAATTGCAATCCCCGGATTTTGACTCCAATCCCTCCACCCCCCAACCCCCCAAAGTGTGTCTCTGGTTCATAGTTGTTTGTTGATTTTGATTTTTTTCTTTCTTATAGTTATTCTTTTTCCTGGGCCCTTATTTAGGTTTTCTAGATTCCTGTTATGAGTGAGACCATCCGGTATTTTTCTTTTTCTTTCTGGCTTGTTTTGCTGAGCTTGATCCCTTCCAGCTCCATCCATGTTGCTGCAAATTGCATGTGTTTATCTTTTTTGATTGCTGAGTAATATTCCATGGTGTATATGTACCACATCTTGTTGATCCAGTCATATATTTTTGGGCATTTGGGTTGCTTCCAAAGCTTAGCTGTTGTAAATTGTGCTGCTATAAACATAGGGGTGCTGGTGCTCTTTGGAATTAATGTTTCTGTGTCCTTTGGGTAAATACCTTGGAGTGGAATTGCTGGATCATATGGAAGCTCTATCTTTAGTAGGTTGAGGAATCTCCACACAGCTTTCCATAGTGGTTGGACCAGTTTGCACTCCCACCAGCAGTGCAGGAGAGTGCCTTTCTCTCCACATCCTCGCCAACATTTGTTGTTGCTAGTTTTTTTAATATGTGCCATTCTCACTGGTGTGAGGTGGTATCTCTTTGTAGTTTTGATTTGCATTTCCCTAATTGCAAGTGACCTTGAGCCTGTTTTAAGTGAGAAATCTGGATAAAAGTTTCAAGTTTGTATCTTAATGAATATGGTCTACTAGAAGGAACACATGGATTTTTGTTAAGTAGAGTGCTTGGCAGTTCTTTTCCTGTCTTTCAAATTGCCTTGTTTTAATACTCTAGAAATAACTTCAAAATGGCATGCCAATGTAAACTACATTTTAAGTCACTACCATGTAGTATGTAAAGCGTAAGCTTTGTAAAACTCTTTTTCAATGATGTCCTGATGCCTTTTTCTTAATCAGTATGATTGACATTTGAGGAAATCTGATGTGTTCAAAATACATTGTCATTTCTCAAAATTTTATGTTTTAACAGTGCCCTTATGTCTGCCATTTGTTGTATTTACTTACCAAAAAAGATAATGGTGAGTATTTTCACTTTGGTTGTCTTGTACTTACTCTCTGCAGTTAGCATTTGTATTGGCTTTTATAAGGTTAACTATTAGCGTTAGTTCTTGACAGGATTTTGTGGGAATTGCTTTTTAGTATTTTTACCTGAGGACATTTTGCTTAATGGCTTAACTGAAAAGGTGTTTATATTCTTGATGTGTTGTAAGATGAAGCTATATGAATTACATGGTTTCTTTTTATTGTGAACCAGATGCATGGTATTTCTTTCTTTTTTTGTTACTATTTTTAGTTAAACCATTTCGTGTGAGAAAACTGCTTGATCTTCAAGCCAAAATGGTGAGTACTAAAAAGACTAAAACAGTATATTATGTGCTAGGTACTGAGCTAGGCTTTGGGGATATAAAATTGAATGAATCATTATCTTAAAGGAATTTATTTCTGGGGAGCTCAGTCAACAAAATAAAAAAATGAGAATCAGGCTTGGGATCAAGGAGGAGCGATGGTGGTGCTTGAGAGGAATTTTCAGGGATGAATAGGGTTTAACTAAGCTAGGAAGGAGAAGAGGACACTCCCGGCAGAGGGAACAGCGTGAACAAAGACGCGTAGATATCAAATAGCAGGAGCTGTTCAGGGAACTGGGGAGGTAAGGCTGGAGGATAAGTGTCAGGGAATAGTCAAAATGAATTTCTCTTTTTGTCTGTATATGGATATGATGTAGGAAAGCATTCTTTTCTGGATACTTAAACTTCAGTGTATTCCCTGGCCTGTTTCTCTTGTCCTTCCAACTCTTGCATTGCTATTGCCACTATACCTGCCAGGTAACAAATCTGCGAAGCTTTGGGTATAAAGCAATAGCAAGTTATAGTGCCCCTGCCTAACTGCTGAAGCCTGCATGACCTACCTAAAGGCATTTAAATTAATGAAAAACAGAAATATACATGCACATTTGTGCTTCTCCACCAAGGCTTCCTGTTAGTACAATTGGTTATTCTTGTTTTGTAGTTTCCTGTTTTGGTTCTCTGGGTATAATATTTTCTCTTAGCTCTCTGAGGATATTAATGACAATGTTTTTGTCCAAATTGAATTTTATTTCACATTAATAGGAAATGTACATTTCCATCTTGCAGCAAAACATTTCAACAGAGTAAGAAAATTCTAACCTTAAATAAGACTTTGCTGATTTCTACTAGCTGAAACAACAGTGTATGTTCAGTTTTAAAAAATGATTTTTAATACATGATGATTGCTTAAAAATTTTAAACCCAGTCAATAAATGTATGGTTTCATTCTTAACATCCTATGTAGTACATTACTAAGTTATTCCGTTATCAGTTCACACCATGTTATAAAGATGCATTCATAACATTGTTTTGATTAGCTGGATTTTGGTGAATTTAGTCAAGTCCAGCAATATCAAACTAAGAGGATACAGCCACGCTCATATGTAAACAAACAAATATCATAATAAGCAAAGGCTCACATGTAAGAAAACATTGGATACATGAATTTCTGATACCTGCAGAGACATGTTTTCCTTCTATACACCATGCCCTGTAATTCCCCATCCATGAAGGAAATGAAACAGAAATTGTCTTTCTAGTGGCAGGCATTAATGGTAGGAAGAGGAAGTGTGTTGTTAAGCTACATGTACTGGGCCCTGTTGGGAACAAACTTCGAAAAAGGAAGGGGGCATTAAGTCTTATCTTAAAGGTTGGTGAGGATTATCCTGTGTAACTTAACTGATTTTTTTCCCCTCTGTTCTCTTAGGTTTCCTTTTCTCTGTTCTGCTAAGTTAGGGACTATCTGCCTATCTTCATTCTAGGTTCCAAAATCATTTTGAGATCTCTCATTTCGTGTTGTCTCCTTTCTTATTTGTTCTCTTTGAATTTGTGTTTTACGCCTTTTACATTTCTTTACTTTTTAGTGTGGCTCTGGGGATACCCAGAGTTAAGCACATTATGCTCAATATGCCATGTTTAACTGAAAGTCTTCCCTTTAAAAAAAAAAAAAAGGAAGAATGATGTTAACTAGACAATACCTTTTAGAGGTCTCTCCACTACTAAATATTTGCTCTGTCAAAGAAAACCCCAACCCATAACAGACATTCTGATATTTATTGAAATTAAGTACAGAGATCAGAAAATATTTCAACACAGATAAACTGGGTCGTTTTGGTTTTGTTATAATGAATTTAATTTCAAGGTGCTGTTATAAGATAGGAGTATTGTATTTCTAAGTCCTGTTTTCTGCCTTCCACATTTTGTATGGTGTTTGATTCAACAAAATTATAACATAACAAAACAACTTGGTTATTTCCTTAGAATTCATTTTAGTGATATGCTTCTTTGAATTGCTGAGATAGTCAAATACAGGTATCCAGCAGCAATGACTTCTTTGATTATGAATTAATGAATTAAGAATTGTTTCAGTTTTATCAAGCTTACCAGTTGTTAAATTGCCTAGTTAATTTCCCAGGAATTATGACAGTAAAGTATTAATATTTCCTTTACTCTGTTTCCACGGCTTCCCTTTTTATCCTCCTACCTTGTTGTCTATATCAAGAATGAGTAAATTTTTATGCTACCAGTGAGAATAAGCTATGCCAGCAGATATGACTGATAAACCCTAAGGCATGGGCAAAGAAGATAAAATAGGAAGAGAAGAAGAGAGAAAATATAAGGAAGAGGTGAAATAGGGGAAAAGGTCATTAAAGAGAAGACCACAGTTTGGGGAGGGTTGTTTTATGATAGTTGATTTACATGTCTGGTTATTCATTCTTTTGTTTTCTATAGCATCTTCCTATAATTATCACACAGTAAAATTAGGATCTGAGTATATGTTTAATGTGTATTTTATTGTTCCTTTTTTATTATTACTGGCCACAGAATCAGAAATTGAAAAGTCTTATTTTATTTCAGGGAATGCAGCCACATCTCCAGGCTTTGTTGTCACTGTATAAGTTCTTTGCTCCTACTTTGATTTCTGTATCTTTGCCTATAAGGAAGAAGGTAAGCAATTAAGGAGTGATGAGTCATATTAAGATTGTAATGTTATTTTGATCAAGTTAATTTACAGACTTCGACTAAAATGTGTGTGTGTTCTTTTTTTTTAAGTTTTGTGTGGAAGAACTGGGGTGTAGGCCAGAGTTGCAGGGAAGGGGGGAAAGGGTGAGAGGACTCACCAGAAACAGAGTGGGGAACAGACACACAACAGGTAGATTTACTGAAATACACTGCTGAGGGGAGCAGCGGAGAGGCCAGACAGGAGAGGTCCGCTGCACCATATGTGGGTTAGCTTCCTGGCTGGGGATCAAACTCAGGCCTTAAAAAGTGATAGCACTGTGGGCCTCCCCTGGTGGCGCAGTGGTTGAGCGCTGGGCTTACAAAGCTGCCCGCAGCCTCTGCAGTGCCGGTTCAATCCCCGGCCACTGGGCGAGGGTCCCACATGGTGCACAGACCTCTCCTGCCGTGCCCGCTGCTCCCTCAGCAGCATATTTCGTCAGTCTGCCTGTTCTGTTCCCCGCTCTGGCTCTGGTGAATTTTCTCACCCTCCCGATCTTCTGACTATACCCAGTGCTTGTATAAATTAATAAATCTCAAAAAAAAAAAAGTGATAACACTGAGACCCAACCCCCAGGCCACCAGGGAGGCTCTCTTGGACTAAAATGTTTATAGCATACTGCTTTAAGATTTAGTATTATGGAATTTTTCCTGGAAAGTTTTTTTTTTTTTTTTTTTTAGGAATTAGCATTTTGGTTTGATTCCATTTGATTTTGTTAATAGATTCCTGATTAGAAAAAAACTCAAATGGATTTAAAAGGGTACAAATTATTTCATAATTAATGTTTCAATTAATAAAGAGATTTAGACTTTACAGACGTTACTGACATGGGTACCTTCTCTCCTGTACTTTATATCCAATTTATAGATCTATTTTAAGAATTCAGAGAATCTGTGGAAGACAGCTTTACTTGGTGTGAGGCAAAGGAACCAAAGACCTTCCCTGGAACCTCTACAACTGGTACTAAGTCTAGCTAATTTCCATCCAGTAAAAAGAGTAAGAATCTAAAACCTGAGATAGACTATGAAGCCTTCTGTTATTCAAACAATAATCATTCAAATGTTGGAAGAGATTATAGATATTTAAATACATTGTAATCACCCAGGCTTCTTTGCAAATCACATTCAGACTCCACTCATTAAACCACCTTAACAACTGCTTGTACATTTATAGTTTGTTTCATCCTTTGATAAATTTTTGTATTGTCTTTATTCTTTAGAAATGGAATTCTCACTCAGTTATACCAAGGCTGAGTTCCAGTAGCTGCAGTAAAGAATGTGGGAAAAAAGGGATGAGTCTTTCTGATTATCTCAGTAACAATGCATCATTTTCACCAGAACAGCTAAAAAGCTTCCCTCAATTCTTACAGAACATCCACTGCTTAGAGGTTTGTGACCGGATCATGTGTTTATTTACATTTGCCATTTGGTCTTCGTGGTCTTTTTATTATGTATTTTATTTATTACATATTTAATTATTATGTATTTCCTATCTGATGATTTCCTTGTTGCTCTGACCTTTTCATATTCTTACAGTTGGCTGATTGTTCTGTCTTTGCAGCTGCCTTCTCAGATGGGTGCAGTGCTGAACAACTCTCTGCTGCTTCACTATATTAACTGTGTCAGAGATGAGTCAGTCTTACTGAGGTTGTATTACTGGTTGAGTCAAACATTACAAGAAGGTAAAGATTGATACTTTAGTATTGGATGAATGAAGAAGGAGCAACATAATTTTCAAATGGGTTTCTTTTAAAAGGATGCCAAATTTTAGACAGGAGGATCCGTCCTATGCTGTAATTATTTCTCTGATCATCATATCTTCAAACCCTGAATGCTTCCTTTGTAGCTTTAAGGAAGAGTAACCTCTTACACGTGATTCTTTATTCTGTTAATACAGTTGACCCTCCATGTCCATGGAGCCCATGTTCACAGATTCAGTCAACTACACATGTAGAACCCATGGATATGGAGCACCAACTGTAAGGGATCTGAACATCCTTGGATTTTGGTATTCAAGTGGATAGGGTCCTTCAATCAATCCCTGAGGATTATAAGGAACAGTTGTAGTTAAGTTTTGGGGGAACCAAAATGATACACAGATTTTTGACCCACTCATTCTTCAAGGGTTAACTGTAATTTTTTCTGTTGACCAAAATGTTCATGTCTGTCAACTAAAATATCCCCTATTTGTTATTAGTATATATGGGAGCCAAATTAGTCATCAAAATCATCTGAATTATAGAATTGAAGGAAAGAGCAAATATGAGGGAGTCTTTCATCCAGGCCTCAATAAACCTGATCATTTTGGTACTCACAGAGGGTTTATTTCTCTAAAGATAATGTTTCTGTTGACCAGATTGTTTCTTTCCCATATTTGTCACTCCTCACTCTTCAAGTGTTTAAAGTCAGTTTTAGTTACTTCCGTCTAAACTCTTCTTCCTTATTTGGCCTTTCTTTTAGGATATGATACAATTTATATAGCCTGTTGGATTACTGTGTGTGACATAAAGCTAATCTTATTCATCATATATGAATTTTACCTGTCTATTTTTTTCCACCAGAAGCTTTGCCCTACATTCCCAAGTTCTCAAGAAACATATCACTGACACCTCCACATATAAGTTATAATCCATAGTGTGAGTTGGCTAGGATGTATGAAGCTAATGGCTTGTTTGTTTTTGTCATTTGCCACTTTAAAGAAGTGGTAATTATGTTTTGTGTAGTTTTTATTGTACAACCAGATGCTTTTGTTTAATATTTCTGCTCCAGAATGTATTTGGTACAAGGTGAATAATTATAAACATGGAAAAGAATTTGCTGACTTCCTGGACACTATCATCAGGGCAGAATGTTTCTTACAAGTAAGATTCCACTTTTCCTACACATTCCATCACTTCTTTCTAAAGTTTATTGCAATATCCTTTTCTTTGGTGTTTGATATCTTTAGTAAACAATAATTGCTCATTTTGAAGCTCGTTGTAAGTTGAGTTAAACTGAGTTAAACTGATGTTTACCTTTGTATTGTTGGAACTGAAGAAATAATTTGTTAAATTATGCAAATAAGAGGGAGAGGCCTGTAATTTAAGAGAGTAAACTGACAATGTATTTGAATGCCTTTAATTAATTGAATTAGCCAATAAAATAAAGCTCATAGGTTCACTACTTATGTGCTTATAATCAACAAGCCTGTTTTTGAATGTAGAATATGTTTCAGCCAATTAATGACTTGGCCTAGGTAACCCTGTGTTGTACTCGGGTATGAGAACCATTAAGAAGCCTTTGCTCCTCACCCCAGTGTTGGTTAGATATTTGTTATCTGTGCTCTTTTAAGATTCTGTGTTTGCCTATATCATGGCATTTTCAGCATCTGTTTTCCATACATTGTGAGCTCCCATTGGGCAGGAGCCTTGTCTAACTTTTGTTCATGTCCAGGTGTTCAGCTTGGCACCTGTTGTAGAAGGAATGTTCAATAAATCTTTGACAAATCTTAAGGATTTAGTGTGAAGCCACTGAATTGGAAATTGGTTATGGATGATGGTGGTTAGGCTAAAGGGACAAATTTAGGTTGACTTATAGGTTTCTTGCTACAGAGGATAATGATGGCATTCAGTAAGAAAGGGAGTATAGGAGGAACAGGTATGAAAGAAAGATAAATTTGATTTAAAAGATGCCTGTGGGACATGTAAGTGGCAATATCTAGTATCCAGTTAGGTAATGAGTCCAGAGCTTATCAATGAGATCTTGGGTAGAGATGAACATTTAGTGTTCCTCTTGATGATGGGTGGTAGTTTTAGCTAGGTTCTGGATGAGATTGTCCAGAGAATCCATGTCATAAAAAGGTCTAGAATGGAGTCCTGGTGCACTCCACTATTTAAGGCTCAAGGCAACAAAGGGAAAAAAGAATGGCCTGGATCCTTACTTTGATGGAAATATAAACACCCTAGACATTCAGGCCTCTTAAGGTGGAGCTGCCCATAGATTGGATTTAGTCTTGACCTCTAATGATATCCCAGAGTTGTTATTTAATGTTCCATACATTTTGTTCACTGCTCACACTCCAAAATAAAACAATTGTCATTTATCTTATAAAAATATTCCATAGCCTAGTTTTTTTTTACCTTCTTTCCAAGTTTTATGGTATTTGAAAACTCTATTGATAAACATGGTATTGTATCCAAAATCATCTGATACTTTTTATGAGGAAGCCTGGCACCTAACATCAAAGCTTTATTATATTGATGATAAAAAATTATATTGATTGTAAAAAATTAGCTTAAGAATAAAACAATCATAGCATGAAATTGACTCGTTGTTTAGAGAGCAATAATGACTGAAGAGTTTCCTGTAAAGTTTTGTTATTGAATTGTCTTACAGGAGGGATTTTATTCCTGTGAAGCTTTCCTGTATAAGAGCCTTCCTCTCTGGGATGGCTTGTGTTGTCGGTCACAGTTACTTCAACTTGTGAGCTGGACTCCTTTCAGTAGCTTCTCTGGTAAGTATGAAAATTTGGAGCAATTTAATTCAATGAAGTATTAACTAAATGGAGTTTGACTAATCTTTTTTTCTTAATTCCTAGAACTGAAACCACTTCTCTTTGACCACCTAGCACAGCTGTTCTTTACATCAACCATTTATTTCAAGGTGAATATAAAAACAACTGTTTTTCTTAGATACAGTAGGAAATTTTAGTCTATGATCAGTGGTACAGGGTTCCAAAGTCATGTTACAGTGGTAGTTTTCTAACCAGATTCTCTTGAACCTAGACTTTGAGGTACTGCAGTACTCAAATCAAAGTCCACGCATAGAGGTTTGACAATTGGCAATTTCACATAGTCCAACATAATATGTATATATGCATTTATATGTACACATATATATTTATTTCTAAGAGTGGGGAGTTGGAAGGGAAAGGGAGAGAAAAAGGGAAACAGAAAGTAGACCATGAACAGAACTCAGTGTAATATTCAGTATTTAATACTCAGATGAAAAGCAGGAGAGTCTACAAGAAAAATTTTTTAATAGGTCTAGAAAGAACCAGGAGAATAGTGCCAAGGAAACAGAATACAGCATATCAAGAAGGAGTGACAGAATGATGTTGCCAGAAATCTCAAGAAGGTCCAGAAAGATAAGGATCAAAAAGTTCCTTTTGGAATTGATAAGACAGAGGTTTTGGTTACCTTTATTTTATGAGCCATTTCATTGGAGTGTCGAGGTAGAAGCCAGTTATGGAAATTAAGGCGTTAATGAGAAGTGAGTTAAGACAATGAATATAGACTTACATTTCCAAAAGTTTGGCTAAAAAGAAGTGGTAGAGAGATTAGTGGGACTTTGAACCAAGGGAAGGTTGTATTTGGGAGGGGGGGTAGACTGGAAGGAACCAGTTGAGAAGAGGAAGAGGTTAAAATGGAGGAAAGATGGGGGATAATTGATGGTACAGGGTTTCAGAAGAAACATGAAGGTACATGAAGGCTTAAGATTAGGCAGAAGAATGGATGGGGAGGCACCACTTACATCTAAGACTGTGTGAAAAGGGTTATAGATAGGTTGATATGTAGATATTTGTGGAGTTGGAAGAAAGGGCAAGAAATTAAAATACCTCATGTCTAAAAATGTTAAATTTCTCAAAATAGGAAGCATGCTGTAGAGGATAGAATTGGGCAGGGGGCTTTGACAACCACTGAGGAAAATGGGAAGGAGCGAGGGGAGAGAAGGAGGGATTGTGGGAGAGAGAGAGGGAGAAAGGGGAGCACAGCTAGCTGATGGAAAACAAGTAAAAGGATTATCGATTTTTGTTAAGGACCTGGATGAAGTGGAAGACCATAAATTTAGAGTGGTGTCAGTCGGTATATTTGTTTTTTTTTTTTTAAAGATTGATTTATTTATTTATACAATCACTGGGTACAGTCAGAAGCGCGGGAGGGTGAGAGAATTCACCAGAGCCAGAGCAGGAAACAGAACAGGCAGACTGATGAAGTACACTGCTGAGGGGAGCAGCGGGTGGTAGGAGAGGTCTGAGCGCAATGTGGGACCCTCACCCAGTGGCCAGGGATCGAACCGGCACTGTAGAGGCTACGGGCAGCTTCGCAGCCCAGCACGCAACCGCTGCGCCACCAGAGGAGGCCCAGTCGGTATATTTGTGTGTGTTTTCAGCTCAGATGTAGGGACCAGAAAGTGAGCTATGAAATTGAATCAGTCAGGGTTTTACTGATTGAATGGAATGCAAGGAAGCTGTGCATGGCTGACAATAGTCTAGATTGGACGGTAAGACCAGGAGAAAGCTTACAAGCCTGAAAATTGAGGTTCAAAATGAAAGAATCAAGGGATTGAATGTCTCTCAAGCTGAGGAGCAAAAATAATTAGTTGTAGTTGAAGACGCGAGAAAATTGGAAGAATGGGAAGTCTTAACAAAGAAAGGAAAATAGTAGATTTCAATGGTGGCTCATTTCAAGTTATGACAAAGTCTAGTGTGTGGCTGGGGGAATGGGAACTAAGGTAGAGTGAAGATGGGTATTTTATTTGAGAGCAAGGAACTGTGAAGTTGAAGTGTTGGGTGGATTATCTACTTGGACGCGAAAAACTGAGGGTTGATGACAGACAGTGTGGTAAGGTCCTCATTGAAATTGGTTTTCAGGAGGTGAATAGCAGAGATGAGGAAAGATAAAAAATAAGGGGAGGGTAGTTGCACAGTGTAAACATCAAAGGGGAAAGGGATATTTTACACAAGGAAGGAGGAGTAATGGTTTGGAAATAGGGTTGAAGATAGGTAGCTTTTGTGTTGTGTTCAGAAAACGAAGAGAGACAAATTCATGAGAAAAACTGACTATAGCAAAGTACAATCTGAAATGGGCTCTTTGATCTTACAAGCAAATTCATCGAATGTTAGTAATAATTAAGCTAATGAGACTTTGTGACTCACAAAATATTTGTAATGTTCTAAAACAAGGCAGTTTTTTCCTCTGGCACCTGATTAAATAGAAGATCTATTTGATTTCTTTATAATATCTTTAAAGCTGATTCCCTTCTTAAAGGGAATTCATTATTGATTTTATATTTACCTTTTCAACGAAAAGGCTTGTATTCTGTTGCTATATCCCATGGAAAGAACAGACCTCTGGCTGCAGGAGGCAGGATTAGATATAGGGCAATGTCTTAATTACAGGTAGAGTAACTCAAAATGGGATAAAGGACCTTAAAAGGGAGTACATTTCCCAACAGAGTCAGTTAGATGTAGGTTTAGTTAACTGTCTACCAGGGATACTTATGTGGAGAAGGTTCATATGTATAATAGAAGGTTCATATGTACAATAGGTGTTTCTCAACCTTTTTTAAAACCCATGTCCCCTTCTCATAAACATAAAAATTTCATGTCTTCTCTTCATATGAGGATAGGGTGGGGGTAGAGTAGGTGGATGAGGGATTAAGGATTTTTGCTTTCAAGATATGACCTAGTACTGAATAACTTTTCAAATGTTAAATTCCCCAATTGACATCAAAATGGAAAATTGTTTTAGATGACTCCGGAATTACTGCCAACTCAAGCATATTTATAACCCAAATGCACAAGGTGTGAATTTCTAAAACATTAATTGAACTGTTCTGTGAAGTAGCAGTGAGAACCTTATCAGTGGAGGCACTCAAATTGTATGTAGGCCATTATTTATTAAGGATGTGTAAGAAAGCTTTTTTATATTAGGTTTTGGCATCACATGAGTTGCTTTCAAATTATTAGATGTGATTTATCCTCATAAATGCCCTGAGCACACTTTTGTCCAGACTATTTTTTTGTGTGTGAAAACTCAAGTTCTGAGAAAGACTAGAGTTGTTTTCCACAGTCACAGAAGATAAGATAACCACGAAAAAAAGGAATAAATTGTAGTTGTAGACACAAAGTAAAAAGGATGGGAAACCCTTTTATCTAGCAATTTCATGAGCGGAGACAGTTGGGAGGGTGATGCTGTATTATGATGTAATATATGTTGTAAATGAACCTAATTTGGAGCAACAAGAGTCTTTTCCTGGATGATAAGCTGGGGGCAGCCAGTCATGTAGAGGTGTATTTCTTATAGAGAAAATGGCAAAATAAACTTGTACTTGAATTCATTTGTCTCTTGGAGACTGGTGAGGTTGGAGCAGCAGCTTTTCAGTTTTCGATTGGAACCCGAGGTCATTTCGAAGGCCCCTTCCACCTCTAAGCCTCTGGCTTAGTCTGTTAGTTTTCAACACTATGATATGTCTGAATGATTTTACAAATAATTTTTTGTTCTTTCTCCCTTAGTGTAGTGTTCTTCAGAGTCTGAAGGAGCTACTGCAGAATTGGTTGTTGTGGCTTTCTATGGACACCAACATGAAGCCCATGATGAGCAGTCCCCTGTGAGTTATCTTCCAATCCTATACAAAAATGTTTGCATGTCGAGTTTAATAGTGTGGTGTGAGACCTAATAGTTTCTTGTAAATGCTTAGATGTATACTTTTCTGGAAAGATTTTCTTGTTACTTTTCACTTTTCTTCCCCACAATTTTTGTGAGGAAGGTTATTTCTTAAAGTTCTATTTTATAATTCAGAAAACATCCCTTAAGTCTCGAAGTGACTTGCGAGTGTTAAATATAGCAAAACATTGGAAAGGTGATATTAGAACTTGCAGCTATGGCTTCTATTTAGTTCAGCTCACTTTATAAAATGTATTCTTATATATGAAACCAATTCTTATGATGACTAGGTAAGTTTGTAATTTTGCTGTAGTTTTCTTATGTTTCTTTGATATATTTTGGTTATATACATTAATTTATTTTCACTTTGAACTAAAAACTATATTTCCATCATGTTGATTATTGTTAAATGTGTGATTTACTCTCAAGTGAAAGTGAAAGACTGAATTTCAAGGAACTGCCTAATTGGGTTGTTTTGACTCTTTCTACTTAAATCTTTGACTTTTTTATATTCTATCTATCATGTTATTTGCTCTGTGGCATAGAAAATTGCAAAAATAATCAAAAGTAGAGAAAATAGTGGGACCTTACTACCATGAACTCATCATCCAACTTCAGCAGTTAGCCACTCATGGTTACCTTTTTTTCCCATATGTAACATTCCTTGCTTTCCTTCTTTGTACTATATATTTTTTTAAGATTTATTTATGCATACATGAACTGGGGTATAAGCCAGAGGTGCAGGGGGTGAGAGGATTCACCAGAGACAGAGTGGGGAGCAGAACAGGCAGATCTACTGAAATATACTGCTGAGGGGAGCAATGGAAGCAACAGGAGATGTCTGCTGTGCCATGCGTGTTAGCTCCCTGGAGGGAGCTGCTGTGGCTGGTGATAGCTTGATAGCACTGTGTCTTTAACCCCTGCGCCACCAAGGAGGCCCCTGTACTAGATTATTTTTATGTAAAACCAAGGCATCATTTCATCTGTTAAACACAATACCAGCATAACAAAATGGATAGTTCTTAAATCTCCAAATATTTCATCAATATTCAAATTCCCTCTATTATCAACCACATCCTTACTTTGTAAGTATAAGTATCCCTTAGCTTCAATTGCATATAGCTGGTGATTAGTTTGGTTAAAAGATTAGCTCAGACCTCTTTTTCTCTATGTTCTTATCCCTATGGTGATCTCCTGCTTTAATAGGGGAGGATGGAATATAGAAGGTTTTGGGGAATAGTAGCCTAGAAGGTTGTTATTAATTTTTCATATTCATTATTGCAATGCTTCCATGTATCCTGTATATCTGATCATGTTTAGAAGGAAATGGAACATCTTGTAAAGCTATATGCTAGTCCCAAGTGTGGGCCTTGGACCAGCAGCATTAGCATAGCCTGGGAACTTGTAACAGATGCAAATTCTCATGCCCTGCCCTACAATGACTGAAGTAAGCTCTGGAGGGGGCACCCAGTAATCTATGTTTTAACAAATGCTTCCATAATTTTGGTGCAAATTAAAGTTTGAGAACCACTGTTATAAAGAAAGTCCATGTAAATGCTTAACCTCATGCACCTCAATTCTATTAATAATAGTATCTTTGCAGATGATAGTATAATTGCCAGCCAACTTACAATGTCTTAAAGACACTCCTGATTTAGGTATCTTACAATTTCTATATTTTCTTCTCCCAAATCCTTCTCCTTTTTTTTATTAGTGCCATAAGTTTTGAGGAGAGCATTTCTTTCTAAAATCTTAAATGGCTGTAGTAGTAGTAGGAAAATGCTTGTCACAATACTACTTGGCATTATATAATAATGGCATTGTATAATACAGTTCTTAAGTTCTCAATAACTCCTGTTTTAGAAATGTGAGTGTAATGCCATGTCTCCATCATATGACCATATGCCCTATGACTGTCAAGGAGTGAGTAAATTGTAGGTGTTGTAGATCACACAGAGGGAAAGGCAGGAAACCATTCTTAGTAGTGGGGCATTTTTAGTTGCATGGTGACTAGGCAGGGGGTACTACCATCATTTAGTAGGTAGGAGCCAGGGATGCTACATGTGCTTCAGGGGTGGGGTGGGATGGGGTGAGAGAGAGGCAATCCTGAACAGCAAATTATTTCATCCACAATGCTAGTAGTGTCCTGTGGAGAAACACTTCAAAAGAGACTTCTGAGCAATCACATTATTTCAAAATATTTTGCATGTATTTGCCAAGTGCTGCCAAAATTCATAGTTAAAATACAGTTTTGCACATAGCTGGTGTTCTCTACAGATGCCCACCTATTTGAATGGTTTAATTCTTCCCTGCCTGACCTTGCACTGAACCAGTGTGGTGGTGGCTAATGGTAGAGTCACTATCATCCCTCAAGCTTTAAGGCTGCATACTATTCCTCATCCTTGTTCATTACTACTGACTACTTTGATCAGGAGGCATTTCCCAAAGTCATTTTAATATTTATCCTTTAAGCCACTGTGTGAATTGTTTGGGATTAAATTCTCAATTTTTCTAGTTTATGTTGTCATTTTGTCCATTTTCAGATTTTATTCTGAAGTTTTCATGTCACTTGCCACAAACGCTTTGATCCTGTTAACTTGTTAATGGAATACACATTTTTCTAGTGTTTTTTTTTTTTTTTTTTTTTTTTTTAAAGATTTATTTATTTATTTATACAAGCACTGGGTACAGTCAGAAGCGCGGGAGGGTGAGAGAATCCACCAGAGCCAGAGCGGGGAGCAGAGCAGGCAGAACGACCGAAGTACACTGCTGAGGGGAGCAGCGGGCGGCAGGAGAGGTCTGCGCGCCATGTGGGACCCTCCTCCGGTGGCCGGGGAGCAGCCGGGGATCGAGCCGGCGGTGCAAGGCTGCGGGCAGCTTGGCAATCCCACGCTCAACCGCTGCGCCACCAGGGAGGCCCAAGTGTTTTTTTTTTTTTAATGTCTTTCACGCAAGGATTCCCATTATTGAGGAGTGTTAGAGTTCAACATTTATCCATTACTAGAAACTTAACTTGCTGACTGTTTTGGTCTCTGGACATTGGCAAAATCTTTAGCCTGTCTGGAACTTAATCCTTTGTTTCTCTGATATTTATTAGTAAAGTCCGTTTGCTGAGGATGTTCTGTGAATGGAACTAATGGTTCCCTAAAGGGCTAAGTGTGGTTTTATGATTAAACATTGTGGTTTGAAAAAGTGACTTACATGTTGGAGCACTGATAGTTTTCTGAAATTCCTAACAGTGTTTTCCTAACATATTATCCAGCTTTAGCTTGGAAATTGTGAAGACTTTTGTTAATATGGTTCTAAACATCATGGTTTCTTATTGCAGAGAAACAACTTTAGGTGGCTCAATGAATTCCGTGTCTGAACTGATTCACTATGTGGGGTGGCTGTCCGCGATTGCAATGCGCTTGGAAAGCAACAGTACTTTCTTGCTACACTTTATTTTGGATTTCTATGAGAAGGTAGTGCACATTCCATTTTCCCTACTTGGCTTTTAGTGATGACTGTCCATTTTACTGGCTTATTGTTTAAATATTTTTACAATCACTAAGTTGGGCGGTGACCTTATTAGCATAATTGAAATAAGCTACACATTTTGAAGTTAATGATTGTATTCTCACCTGAATTACTGACTTACAGAAATAGAGGATTAACTTTCATCAAACACTCTTTTTGGTCCAGGTTCCACTTTAATAGACATTCCCCTGCATAATGCTCATCCCTGGCAAAAAAATCTAGAAATGCCTTCTTATTTCATCAGCTTTCCACTCCCACTTTTCAAATGCCTTATTTCTCCCAGTACCTATGATTCTAGCCCTTTTGTTTTATAGTATTTTATAGTTTTATGAACTAATCTTAGCTTTCCTGGATTCCTCCCTTCAGTAGTACCTATTTCCTTATATTTGCTTAGATGTGTTTTCTGTCATTTTCTAGGTTGACAGTCTAACATTTATGAAAAAATCAGTATACTTAGGGGAGTTACAAACTCCCTTTCTCCCCAACTCTTAGATCCCTCCCCAGAAAAAAACAAAAGATTTTAATAGTGGTCTTCTGAAACTAATCATCTGTGGTAAGGTTGATATTTGGTGTAGTGTACTTTAGCAGGCGTGTGGCTGCCTATTCTATTATGAATCAGGCAGGTCCATACCTAATGTCATAGTATTGCTTATTCTATGCTGATGATTCTTTGGATAAATATGGTTGAGGGGCTCTGGGTATAATTTATATACTGATGTTATCATTCTTCCCAAAAGGTATGTGACATATATGTAAATTATAACCTTCCATTAGTGGTGTTGTTTCCTCCTGGGATCTTCTATCCTGCACTGCTCAGCCTGGATTCTAGTATCCTGAACCAACTCTGTTATATTATGCACAGGTACAGCTCTTTTACTGTCTTGTGAATTAGTACCTCATAAGTCTAGCTTCATTTTTAACTATAATAAAATAATTTTTCATTTTCTGCCACAGCCTATGGAAACAGGAAATAAGACTTTCCTTTGGGGAAGACCTTCCAGTAATGGACTATTTCACCTGTTATTTTTAATGTCACTGTGGAGAATATAGATTTAAAAAAATTCACAGTTATTTTTAATATGTCACTGTGGAGAATATAGTTTTAAAAAAATTCACAGTTAAGGATATTTTGTGCAGTGGTACTGCACAGCTCAGCATTATTAATTCTCATTGCGGTGTCTTAAGGAAAAACTACCCATTGCTAACAACTGGCTTAGGTCTATGTAACTTCTCTGGTAAAAAGAGAACATTTTCTGGGAGATAATAGAGGCTATTGCCAATTATAAGAAGCTGTAAATATCATTTCTGATCCCCTCTAGTTTTTTCACTTATGGACTGAATTGCTATTTTCAGTCCATAAAAATAAAAACTTTTTATTTATGCATATAAAAACTGGGGTGTAGGCCAGAGGTGTGGGTATGTGTGTGAGAGGACACAGAGTGGGGAGCAGAACAGGCGAATGTACTGTAATACACTGCTGAGGGAAGCAGCGGGCGAGACAGGAGAGGTCTGCTGTGCCATGTGGGTCAGCTCATGCCACAGTGGCTGGCCATAGCTTGATAGTGCTGATAATTTAACCTCTGTGACACCAGAGAGGCCCAAATATAAACTCTTTAGGCATAACTCGTAAGACTACACCAAAACAAATTAGTTAATAGTCCTCAGATGAAAAAAATTATATTTATAAAATTTTTCTTCCTCCTTTCTACTGCATCTTTTTTCCACATTAGGAAAATAGGCTCTGTATCAGTGACTGACTGCTTTTGAGATGCTGTTAAATTTTTAATATTGAAACATTAAAAGCATTTCCTTTATTGCTTTTTTTAATTGAAGTATAATTTACTTGTAGTCAAATGCATATCTTAAATGTATAACTCAGTTTTGAGCCTTTATTAATTTTTATTCTTTGAGGGCAATATACCATGAAAGAATAAAATCCTTAACTAGACAGCTGGATATTTGTATATGTACACATCTACATATATTTACATTTAAAATATATACATTTTTGTTTATGTTTACATTTAAAAAAGCATTTAAAGTTAAAAGTTTGATTCTGTTTGTTCTCCCCATTAGGTATCGTGAAAATTTGACCGCTGCAAAGAAAAATGAGTTGGTGCCAAAGGTACGGATGATAAAACTGTGTTAAATCACCTTGTTTAAAAATTGAGTATAGATATAGATGACCTATTGGGAATAGAAAGGAAAGGGAGAATAGGCAATAATTACAATTTTTTTCTTTCTAATAGACAAAATCAGAGTTCAATTTCAGCAGCAAGACCTATCAAGAATTTAATCAGTATTTGACAGCTATGGTTGGTTGCCTATGGACATCCAGACCCTTCCAGAAAGGAATATATATCGACCCCGAAATCTTAGAAAAAGCTGGAGTAGCAGAGTATAACAACAGTTTGAATTTAGTCTATCATCCTGCTCTACTGAGTTATGCTGTTTCCTTTCTGCTACAGGTAAGAGTATTTAAAGGATTTTTAGATTTTATATAAGAGTACTGTGACAGCAGAAACAGAAAATATCATAAATTTAGCATGTCAGAATTATGTGATGCATGCAGTCATTTCTTTTGGAGTATCTACTAAATTTTGGGCACTGTGCTAGACTCTGGGGATACAAAGTTAAGTAAGTCTCCACTCTTCCCCAAACTTGGACTTGTAGCAGAGACACACTTGTGAACAAATGAAAATAGTCCAGTGTGGAGAAATGAGAAAAGGTACAGTTGTGAGAGTTGGGAGAGTAACTGTTAGGTCAGTTCTGCTTGGGTAGAGATGGTGCCAGGTTAAAAAAAAGGCTGCAGAGTGGACACTCATAAAATCTTGACACGATGGGAAATGTAAGGTAGATGATACTATAATTTGAGTTGAAGACTGCTGGTTTAATGGATTGATATCAATAAGCAAGCGCAGGAGTAAGGGTGGGGTTATGTTCTTCTCAGGGCTTTATCTTCAGCCCTATTATTTTCTACCTTATCAGCGACTTGGGAAAGATCTCAAATGGCATGCTTATCAGGTGTGTGAATAACACAGCAGAATGGAGTTACAAATACACTGGTAGAACCCACATTCAGGTTCCCTTAATAAGCCAGAACATCAAGAAATCTAACAAAATGAAAAAAGACATACAGAATGGCAGCGATATTCACTGAGCAAATGTTCCATATATGTATGCAGTAAACCAGGCACTGTGATGAACAAGACACATCTGGAGCTTCCAGTTTAGTCTTTTGTTTCCCTTACCATTGTAGTCTGGTTCCCCAAAATATCACTGAAGCCAATGCCGTAGATTGTTTTGACTATGTCTTCTTCTATGTACTTTATGATTTCAGGTCATATACCCAAGTCTTTAATACATAAGATGGTTAATTTTATTTCACATTAATTTCACCTCAATAGAAAAAGATTTTTAAAAATTATCTGGTGGTAGATACTAGTGTATGGCAAGTAGGAGAAACGTGGTTAGCTGGAGTTGATAATTGTTGGCTCTCGAAGATTCAGAGGTTCGCTATACTATTCCCTCTTTTGTGTGTGTTTGTAATTTTCATTTTTAAAAAGCTGTTTAAAATAACCTGCCCAACTGTGTTCTCTGGTTATTCATTTCCCCTACCCCAAAGCAACCACTTTAGAATTTCTTAAATATCCTTCCAGAGACATACTGTGTAAATAATCTTTTTCAACGCTTTACACTATACACACATTTAAGCCTCTTGATTTCTTTAACATCTTGGCTTTTATTTCATCCTTGTATTTAAAAGATAGCCTTTTTCTTTTTTGATGTCTATAGCATTCCATTGTATGGATCTAATATAAGTTCAGCATTTAACATAGGTTGAGAGCATTAAGTTGTTTCTAATCATGTTATTAAATTATATTCTAATGAATGTTCTCAACTATATAATTTCATACATAAGCAAGTATGTCTGTTGGATAATACTGCTCAAAGTAGAATTGCTTTCAAGGAGTATAGCTTTTTAATTTTGTTAGGTATTGTCATACTGCTTTCAGTAGAAGTTAGACAAATTTACATTCCCACTAACAATAAATAGGTGTCCATTTTTCCATATTCTGTCAAGACAGCTGCATCCAATTCTTATTTAGAAAGTATGCAGTGACTCACTGATAGAATTGATTTTTATAAGTCAATTCTTTTTTTTGTCTCAGAAAGAGAATATTTTAAGAGTCTAGTGAATGTTACAATTTGGACATAGGTAAGCAAACCTGTTTTGGAGGATCAGGCATTGATATATTCTTTTGAATCAGAAAATGGTTTTTTAAATGTTTGAGGAAAGTTGACTCTGAAAGGTTAAATTCTAAGAGCATAGAACACATTTGGAAACTGTGAGGCTAGCATTTTTATAATTGATGGTGTCCCTATATGGTTCTGAAAATACATAGGCGTTAATGTCAATCTTTGCTTTAAAAGAATGCCTTTTGAACCCTTGTCACCTACTAACTTCTCACTCTCTAAGAATCTTACCGTTGAGGTAGTAAAAATAAATGCTATAGACTTTGAAACCATGGTTGCATGATTTAATTTAATTAAACTGAATTCACATCAATATTTCATATTAGCCAAAATTTTAGAGAAAATTTGGTAAATTTAACTAGGCATATCAAGTATCAAAGAGCTAAACTTACTGAGTTGAAATATGTTGAACATTCTTAGAGCCTACAATTCAGGGAATTCAGAAACTATGTTTTCTTTCATAAATTACCTTTGAATTAATAACTAGTTATGTCTTGGCTTATTCTTTCAACAAATATTTGGTGTATACTCTGCTTTTGGCACTGGGAATAAAACAGTGTTTAAGAAGATAGATACCATCTCTGTCCAAATGGATTTTATTCTAATAAGAGGAAACAATAAATAAGTTAATAAATAGACATGATAATTTAAAATTTTGAGAACTATGAAGGACAAAAAGGGTGAGGTGGGAGAGAGTGGGTACTTGTCTGGGTGAATGATAAGGAAAGCATTTCTGAGGAAGTGACATTTGATCTGAGATGTTTTTCTAACGAGAATAATCCAGCCTAGGAACAGTTGGAATAACATTCCAGGGTGTGGGAATAGTGTAACAGCTCAGGGGTTCAAAGGAACAGCAACAACAACAAAAAAAGCAGTTGCGTAGAACATAAGAAACCTAAGAGAGAATGAAATGAAATGTTAGACAAACATGGCCATCTAGCTTACAGGTCTCTTAGGAGTGCAGTGATAAACAATTGAAAGATTTTTAAGTCGAGTTGTAGTATGGTTTGAGTTGATGCTTAATAAAGTTATTTTAGGTTTTTTTTTGTGGAGGATATAGTTAAAAGTGGAGGCCCGAATGGAGGCAGGAGCACCAATAGGAAGCTATTGTTATAGTCTCAACGAGAGAGAGATTGAAAGTGATTTGTATACAAGTGGCAATAGTGGAGAAGAAGTGGACTGATTTGAGATACATTGCAGAAGTAGAACAGACTGGACTTGATGGCTTGATTAGAAGGAGGAATAATAGAAAATAGGGACACCTGGGGTTTTTTGAATTGAGCAACTGGGTTGATAGTGGCTTAGTCATTTTTAAGAGGAGTACTGATAAAAGAATAGGAGAGGTTTCTGGGGCATTTTGGGAGAGCAATATTTATTTATTTTTTTTAATTTATGCATACAAGAACTGGAGTACAGGCCAGAGGTGTGGGAGGTGAGAGGATTCACCAGAGACAGAGCAGGGAACAGAACAGGTGGATTGACTGAAATACACTGCTGAGGGGAGCAGCAAGCAAGTCAGGAGAGGTCTGCTGTGCACATGTGGGTCACCTCCCTGGCCGGGGATCGAACTCATGCTGCATTGGGAGAGCAATATTTAAATCTGAGATGCCTGTTGACATCCAAGAAGAAATGTAGCTAGGCAGTTTGAAATAGGTACTTACAGCTGAGGAGAGCGGTTGAAACTAGAGAAATAAATGTGGAATCCATCAGCATGTATTATATTGTATCAGCTCCAGAGGCACAAATTTTTCACTTAAGTTGTCATAGATCAAGATCCATCTGTGATCAATGTCAGCTGGGTAGCAGTCATGATGGAGCTGTCATTTGCCATTTGAGTGTGCGGAGGCCTTGCAGAATAGATGCCAGCAGCTTAGGGGTGGGGGAATTTGAAACAATGTTGGGACATTGAACCACACACATTATGAACTTTCCTTGAATGAAATAGGAACCAAAGAGAGGGTGCTTTATGTATGTGCGACCGCAGCACCAGTAGCTTTTAGTTCTTTTAAGGAATCCAGTATCATCAACACTCTGGCACAGAGGATGATACTGGGTGAAAAATAGATAACAACCCTTGAGTAGAAAAGCAATTTAGAAGAGCTGGATCCCGCATGTGAAGTTTTAAAAATCCCTTCACCAATGTTTAAAAATTTTGTTGAAATAACATTTGTTTGTAACATTATGTTTCAGGTGTATAGCATTATGTTTGACATCTATATATAGTACATTATGATTACCACTGAAAGTCTAGTTCCCATCTATCACCACACAAATGATCCCCTTTACTCATTTTGCTCACCTACCATCCCCCTGCCCCTCTGGTGACCACCATTCTGTTCTCAGAATCTAAGAGTTTGTTTTGTTTTGTTTTGCTTTTTTGCTTTGTTTCCTTATCTTCCACATATGAGTAAAATCATACGGTAATTGTCATTCTCTGACTTACTTCACTTAACATAAAATGCTCTAGGCCCATCCATGTTGTAGCAAATGGCAAGATTTCATTTCTTTCTTTATAACTGAGTAGTATTCTGTGTACATATTTGTGATATTTGGCTATCACAAATTAGTTTTGTTTACATTTACCACTTACACATTTATAAAAATGATACATAATAAACGTGTATTACATGTATACATACATGTAGGTAAAACTCAGTCATTATAAAATAAAAATTCTAAGTGTTAAAAAGGCATTGTGTTATATGTAGTTTAATGGGTAGAGTTTTCTCTTAGGATATATAAAATTATTAGTTCTTAAAACTTGTGGCTTTCCAATGAAGTACAATTAGGTGATTACTTAAATCTAGGGAATAAATAGGGTCTAGGTAGGAGTTTTTATAAAGAATAAAGATTTTCATGGAATTTGCTATGAATGCAGACTGCCTCACCAGACTTCCTCTTCATCCTTCCAGAGTCAATGTGGGTATCATGTTCCTCAGAAAAAGCCTTTTCTAACACCCTCCAACTCCGCTCCAGCGACTGAGTACAGAATAAAAGAAAATAGGGCATAGATTCGCTAAATGGTACTCACTTTAGCCACTGTAATTTTATTTTCCTTCTGTTAGTGCTTCTAGGGAGGAATATGGAAGGCTATAGTAAGTGTTTATTCATAAAGAATCCAAGAATGATGGTAGGAATAGAATATATTAGATGAATCAGACAGTATAAAACCATCTTAATTTTCTGGTCATTTCTACTAACCAAATATTTCCATCCTCTATCTCCCCAATTCCTTTTCTTTTCCCTAAGGAATGGCCAGATAAAAGGACAATAAACATGAGCTCTATTCAGGTAAGTAAACTTACTTTTACCATGTTCAGAGATGGTATCTCATCAAAAGAATTGATACCTTTACTTTTACCCATATCTTAAGTTTGTTGCCTTTCCAACCTCAAAGTGAAGTATTTATATTTTGAATTCATTCCAGTGACTGATATGTGAATTTATTGGCACACATCCTTTACAGTATTCTCTAAGGAATACTATTCATAGTTTCACTCTTGATGTTTTGATCATGCATCATCTCCTTTTATTTGTTTTGCATTGTCTTGTTTTATAGTACAGGTGCCTGTATACAACATGTGACTGTAATGAGACTGACTTAACAAAACTCAGCACAATTGTACCATTATAATTAAAAAATCCATGCTATGTGCATATTTAATATAAGCAGTAATATAGCAATGTCTGCTGTTCTCTTATCTATCTTAGATGTTAAATTCCTAGTGTGGGAATGATGGCCCACTTCTGTCTCATAGTGCTTTGTTCAGTGAAGAGTTAATTTTTTTTTTTTTTTTGTCTTTCAAAGCTTTACTTAAAGGCCAAATTTTTAAATTTTTTTTATTTTTTACATCATTGCTCATTTTTAAACAATATTTGCTTACCCCCACCCCCTCAGGTGAAATCCCCATAGAACTTCCTTCCCCAATGAACCCGTGCACCATCACCTCAGTCCCCTGTTCTCCTCCCTCCCTCCCTCCCTCTGATCCCTCTCCCTCCTCCTCCCCTGCAGTATGTCTGTGATTTATAATTGTCTGGTATATATACACAGTGAAATATTATTCAGCAATCAAAAAAGATAAACTCATGCCATTTGCAGCAACGTGGATGGGCTAGAAGGAATTATGCTCAGTGAAATAAGCCAGAAGGATAAAGAAAAATATTGGATGGTTTCCCTTATAGCAGGAATATAGTGGAACCAAATAAGACATCAGTGTAAAAAATAATAATAGTACAAAACACAATGAAGAGTTAATATTTTTGCCAATATAATAAAAGGAATGTTCAGCCCTTGAATATTGGCTCCTTTCTGGTTTAAATGTTACTTAATGACTGAGTCCCAGTTTTGCACCTGGCCCCTCTAAGCTAACTCTTGATGTGTGTCTCCAGGTCACTGGACCCTTCTCCTAGATAAAGAAGAGGAAGTAGAGAATAAACATAGTAAATATTCAATAAGTAATTTCCCCTTTTTTGTGCCTACAGGGAAAGAAATGGAACTGGTATTTGGACTATTTATTTTCAGAGGGATTTCAAGGCTTAAAACTTTTCATAAAAAGTAGTATTCATCGTTCTTCTGCCCCCTGATCAGAGTGCATCAGCCATGTGACCAACAGTATATGAATGACAAATGACAAACAAACTGAGCATACAGGACTAAATTCCTTCCTCATTGCTGGAGAAGCCAAATGGTTCCACTTCAGTTTCCGTTGTTTTTTTTTTTTTTTTTTTTTTTTATACAATGGACTACTCTCCTCAGGGAGTACTTAGATGGCCTTCTATCTATGGCTTCCAGAGATCTTTGGTGTGGCTAATTTTATTTTTCAGGACCGACATTTTTTAACCGACTAGTGGACTTCATCATCAGGCTCTACTTTCCATCAAATTATATATAAAGAGACATCTGTTCTAGGATTTCTCTCATTGTATGGTCTCTAAGCTGCATTGACGCAAGCAGGCAGGTAACATACAGCAGCACTTAAGCCTTAGACATACTCATTCAAAATGCTCTGCTGCCTCCATGAAATCTCTATGGATAGTGCCATTTTTCTTTCTGAATAACAGCACCAGCACCAAGTTAACAGCATGCACTTCTGACTCTAAAAGCTGGTTCTGAGTAGTTGGTGGCTCCCTGGAACCTTCGCTAGTACAATTTGTGAAAGAACAAAGGGGAGAGGATTGTGGGATAGTCAAAATATTTATTTCATTTCAATTTCATGAAACTGCTCTATTGTGTGTGTGTGTATCCCATTTTTAAGTGTTCAGGCCCAAATTAACTACAACTTTTCTTTCAGGGGTAATTCAGAAGATTAAAAAAAAATTATGATAGCTAGAATAGCTTGCTGAGAATTTCCTCTAAATTTTGCTTCAGCACTACTGAATGACTCTTCCCCTTTTAAATAAAATTCATATCATTTGAGAGAAATCAAGCTTAATTTTATTTTGAAGGTCACATTCTTGAGCCTTTTTTCTTTTGAAACAAAACAAGACCCTAAACTAAATTGTTTGATAGTATTCAGACTAGAAATTCCATCTATTTATTCAAATCATGTTTATTGAGCTTACTATGTGCCAGGTATTTTATGTGCTGGTTATATAGCTGTGACCAATACAGTGTACTTCTTTTGTGGAATTTACTACACTGCATTAGCGAATACAGACAGCAAAAGTGTAAACAAATATATATCAGGTGTTACAAAGAAAAGGCAAGGACTAGGGACAAAATGTTGAGAGGGTTGCTTCTTTAGATAAAGTGGTTAAGGAAAGCTATGTGACTGACATGTGCAGAGGCCCTACTGAAATGAATGTACCAGTCATTTGAATATTTAGGGAAAGAATGTATTGGGCAGAGGTAAAGCAAGTGAAAAGGCTTTAAAAAAGTTAACTTATTTGACAAGTTTGAGTAATAGACAGCCAGTAAGTTTACAAGATAGTGATTAAGGGAGAAGAATGGTAAGAATTAAAATGGGGGAAAAGTCAAAGAAAGAGTAGTTCATAAAGATCCTATTCCTGATATGGCTCTGTAATAGGAAGCATTGGGAACAGAGGAATGACATAATTGGGCTTACATGTTTGGAGCTGCAGTGTGAAGTTTAGACAGAAGAAGATGGAGAGTGAAAGCAGAGGGACCAGTTAGGTTATTACAGTGTTCTAGCCAAGAGTCTTAGACTACAGTGTGATGGATGATAGGGAAGTGGTTAGATAGTGGTGCATTCAGGCTCTGTTTTAAAGATAGAGAAGGTGGGATCTGCCATTAGTTTGCGTTAGAAGTAAAGGAGAGGAGTAAAGGATGATTCCCAGGTTTTTGAGCAACTGGGTAAATTCTGGGATGCAGAGATGAGGTGTAGTGGAGGAGGAGCAGATTTAGAGGAATGTGATATCAGGAGGGGTGTTTTTGCCACATTAGATGGAGATGCTGAACAGGCAGGTAGATATTCAAGTCTAGGGATCAAGGTACAAATTGGAACTGGACAAATTAATTTGGGAGTCATTAGTGAATAGCTATAACGTTGGATGAGATCACTTAGTGCAGCTAAGGAAAGATGGCAAAAGGCAGCCTGGGGGTATGCCAAGGTTAAAAAGTAGAAGATATGGGGAGGAGCCAGCAAGGGATCCAGAAGAACCCACCAACTGAGCTAGAAGCAAAATTGGGAGACTGGTGTGCTGCAAGTCAAGTGAATAAAGTGATTCAAAAAGGAGGGTGTCTCATGGTGTGGAATATTGCCTGCATATATCTGGAGAAAGAAGCTTTAGCTGTTTTGAAGTAATTATAATAGCTTCCTCAGTAGGTGACCATTCTCATAAGAGCTCTCTCTTGTTTTCACATTTGTACGCCAGATAACTCTGCTTATTTTTCAGAATGTGATATTTTGATCCTTAAGTTCATGTGGAACTTTCAATTGTGAGAAGGGATTTGATAGTTTCTCATGCAATTTTTCATGAAATTTGACCCCTAACAATCTTCAGGTCATTGAAGAAGCTTTTCTATATTTAAGTTGAGCTTCCAGGAGAAAACAAATTATCCCCTTACGTTTGTCTTTTCGCTCAATAATGATTCCCTGGATACCTTTTTGCCTATTTTCTTATTAATCAGTTTGTAATTCAATTAAGATTAGATATATGGCTATGCAAATAAGCCAAATCTAGTTATTTGGAATATCTTTTTTAAAAAAGGTTCTTTTTAAAAGAAAAACAGTATTTAAATAAGAATAGCTTTTTTGCTTTAGTGCAAAAGATGTTTGAAAAAAATAGAAAATTTGTTTTATTATCCCATTTGTACAAAAAATATTTACTAAGTATTTGTGAAAAATTGTTGATTTTCTAAATATTGATTTAGTGTTCAATAGTAAAATTGAATTATTAGATTTCTAACATTCAGTTTTTCCTTTTTTAATCTCAACTGCTCCTTTTGGTCTTAAGGGCAATCTGGAAAGAAATATAGGTAAGTTTATTGTGTTTCACATGGTTTTTAATGTAGAAATTTCTCTCTTTATATCAGATGCTTTTTATGTCACAAAATGTTTTACTGGAAAGAAAAAAAAATCCTGAAATTGGTATATTTGAATTGATACTACTTTTGATTGATACTACTTTTCACTTCATTTAAATTATTAGATTTTTTAATGTTGTTGGCCTATATTTTATCACATAAAAATTCTATTTCTAATAAAGGTGGATGCTACGGACTGAATGTTTGTGTTATCGCAAATTTCTATGTTTGAAGTCCTAACTCCCAATATGACGGTATGGTTCTCTTTGTTTGAAATATCCACAACAGGCAACTCTATTAATACAAAGATAGAAAATAGCTCTCAAGTTCGCTCGGCGTTTGGGTTGGTGGTACCCACGCGGGGTTCAACATGCGTATCGAGAAGTATTATTTCCGAGAAGTAATATTTCTGTCAGAGCCTATCTACCCCAGCCACGGCATGATGTTCGTCCGCAACGACTGCAAGGTATTCAGATTCTGTAAACCCAAGTGTCATAAAAACTTTAAAAAGAAGAGCAATCCTAGGGAAGTTAGGTGGAGGAAAGTATTCCGGAAAGCAGCTGGTAAAGAGCTTACAGTGGATAATTCATTTGAATTTGAAAAACGTAGAAATGAACCTGTCAAATACCAGCGAGAGCTGTGGAATGAAACTATTGATGCAATGAAGAGAGTTGAAGAGATCAAACAGAAATGCCAAGCTAAATTTATAATGAACAGGTTAAAGAAAAATAAAAAACTACAGAAAGTTCAGGACATCAAAGAAGTCAAGCAAAACATCCATCTTATCCGAGCCCCTCTTGCAGGTAAAGGAAAGCAGCTGGAAGAAAAAATGGTGCAGAAATTACAAGAAGATGTGGACATGGAAGATGCTTCTTAAAAACCTTACTGAAGCATTTTTCAAAAGTGCATTTGAGGGCCTCCCCGGTGGCGCAGCGGTTGAGCGCTGGGTTGCGAAGCTGCCCGCGGCCTCTGCGGCGCTGGTTCGATCCCCGGCTGCTCCCCGGCCACCGGAGGAAGATCCCACATGGTGCGCAGACCCCTCCTGCCACCCGCTGCTCCCCTCAGCAGTGTACTTCAGCCCTTCTGCCTGCTCTGCTCCCCGCTCTGGCTCTAGTGAATTCTCTCACCCTCCCGCGCTTCTGACTGTACCCAGTGCATGTATAAACAAAACAAACAAATATAATAAATAAATAAATAAATAAACATGTCTCTATTAAAAAAAAAAAAAAGTGCATTTGAAAACCTCCTTTGGAGACTTAAAATTTATAAATTATTGATTTATTTTTTATGGTCACTCAAATGAAAGGTGATTAAAAATACACCTACATTGCTATCTGGAAAACATCAGTTATGAATTCTATACTCATCTCACTGTTAATCCTTCTCTGATAAATATTCTCATGTAATCATGAAAATTCATTTTGAGATTACAGAAGTGAATTGTGGATGGACATGCCATTTGTATAACAGCACTAGCAGCATTTGTGTAATAATTGATGACAAAAATTTCATGGCTAGTGATGTGCAAAAATAAAATTTTCTTGGCAGTAAAAAAAAAAAAAAAAGTAGTGAAATGGTTGTCTAGGGCTAATGGAGCTCGGGTGGCAGATACGGGGGAATAGTAGAGACTGAAATTTTGTGTCCCTCAAAATAAATACCAATGTGATGGTATTCAGAGGAGGGAGGGTGATTAAGTGATAAGATTGGAGCCCTTATGAACAGGATTTGTGCCCTTATAAAAGATCCCAAAGATCTCTCTTGTCTCTTTCATCAGGTGAGATTATACAAGATGTCCGTGAATCAAGGAACTGACTCTCACCAGGCACTGAATCTTCCAGCCCCTTAATCTTGCACTACCAGCCTCCAAAACTGAGATAAATTTCTGCTGTTTGTAAGCCACCCAGTCTATGGTATCATAACAGCCCCCAAAAAAACAAAGACAGGGCAGGGAGTGATTGTTAATGGGTGTAAGGTTTCTTCTTTGAAATACAAGTGCTCTAACTCTTTAAATACAAGAAAAACCACGGAATGTTATGTGTTCTGTAGATGCATTTTATGTAAATTATCAAGAAGCTATCTTAAAATAAAAAATAAAGGAAAAGTAGGGCAATAATTTCAATCAGGCTTGAAAATTCCCTGAGCAGACAGAATCTGGTTAGTCATACAAACAAAACTTAATTTATTTTATGAGGCTAGCTTGTCCTGGGTCATCTTATTTATGCTTCTGGAAATCATAAGCAAAACAAACTGTTTCCCAAGGTTTATATGGGATAACCACTGGCCAATCCCCTGTCATTTAAGAAAATTCCAATATTATAACCAAACACAGTGAAGAAGAAATAGTCACTGCCTTCTCACTATATAAACTGCTTTATAACAATACACCTCTGAACCTCATTCCATGTTTTAGGTTGAATCTTCCAGTTTGCAAACTATATTTTTGGTGTATGCACAATAAACTTTTACTAATTACTTCTTCAATGATTCATTGGTTTTACTTAGACTATTTCTGAACTTTTGACAGCTGTTTAAAAAAACTTGTCAGGACTATTTCAAATCCTGTTTTGGAAAAGGATGAGATGAGTAAGCTTAAAGATCTGGTGTTTGCATAGTGATTATGTTAACTGCATAGTAACATAAATTTAGAAAATTACAGTCATAAAATTATTTGCTTCTCTTCTGTCTCATACCTTGTCCTCTTCCAGTCTAGGAAGTTAGAAATATGGAAAGAGAATTGTATGTGGTACTTATACAGCTATGGAGTATTTTAAGGACTTTTTAAAGGTCAATATCAGATTTGCAAACTATCTTTTTGGTGTGTACACTATAAACTTTGACTACTTCTTCAATGATTCCATGGATTTACTTAGACTATTTGTGAACTTTTGACAGCTATTTTAAAAAACCTGTAATACAGGACTGTTTCAAATAAGTATCAATAGCTATTTGAGATTTTTTTAGGGTCAACAAGGAAAACAGATATGTCAAAATAATTTTCTAAGATAGAGAATTGGAAATAAGTTATGAAATTATATGTGAGTAAAAGTCACTAATAATATTTCTCATTAAATTTTTCAGAAATTGGCAAATTTTTGCTTCATGAATAGACTAATATAGCTATAATTACTTTATTCAGATAAATAAAATCTAGATTTCTAACAAAATATTTAGTTAATATCTTCTATTCTGAATGAAGGTATAGCCAGAGTGAATATTTTAAACAATTGAATTTTAAATGAATAATTGTTTTTTTTAAATGTGTTAGTATATTAATTTCAGGTGAGAATTATAAAAATGGGGTTTATTTAAAAATTTTGACCCATTTTTTAAGCTGTTCTGTATAAAATATCTTAGTCATGTTTAAAATTTTGTTATTGCTGAATATAGGATAATCTACTATCTCCCCCTGCTGGATATTTGCCCCATTACAAGGAAGAACGATCTCTGTAACTTTGTCTATAGGTGTAGACAGAATAGGGAAAATGAGTGTGTTGAGATGAATGCGCAGCCTCCGTACAAGTCTTCTGATTTTCAGCCCTTTCCAACTTGAAAGACCCATTTCCCTTGTGTTTGAAAATGAATTAAACTGAAATAAAGGGTTTGGGTTTTTAAATTTATCCATCCACTATGCATTTGGGGAATTTAATCCATTTATATTTTAGAATAATTATAGATAGGTATGGATTTACTAGTTAATATTTTCTAGCTGTTTTGTTCCTTTCTTACTCTCTCACTGTCCTCCTTTGTGAATTGATGATTTTCCATAATATATCCTTTGGTTCTCTTTATCTTTTGTACATGTACTATAGGTGTTTTACATATACTATATGAGTTTTACATAATATATCTTATAAATATAACAATCTATTTTGTGCTGATAACAAATTCACACACAAAAACTCGACCTTATTACTCCTCCCTGCATATTTCATGTTCTTGATGTCACAATATAATCCTTTTTATATTGTGTGTTCGATAACAAATTATTGTAGCTGTGGTTATTTTTAATACTTTGTCCTTTAGAGTTAAGTGGTTAACACATCACCATATTATAGTAACAGAGTATTCTGAATATGACTATTCTTAGCTGTACCAATATATTTTACACTTTCATATGTTTTCACATTTGATTCTTGGTAACCATTAAAGTGTATATTTCTGTGCGCTCACTTTTCTGTATGTGTTATTCTGTACAATACAAAAGGTTTAAAAAGGACCATGTTTTGTTGCTTTCAGTTTTCTGATGCTATACCTTAATTGTCTTTCTCAAAGATCACTGATAAGTATCCAATTATTTCATTTGTAAGTTCTTTGGGATCTTAGGGTCCATCTAGCTAAAGAGAAATTACTCGTGTTTCAAACGGAATTTTTTTTTTAAATATTTATTTATTTATACAAGCACTGGGTACAGTCAGAAGCGCGGGAGGGTGAGAGAATTCACCAGAGACAGAGCGGGGAGAACAGCCAGACAGATGGAGGACACTGCTGAGGGGAGCAGCGGGCATGGCAGGAGAGGTCTGCGCGCCATGTGGGACCCTCGCCCGCAGCCAGGGATTGAACCGGTGCTGCAGAGGCTGCAGGCAGCTTCGCAGCCCAGCGCTCAACCGCTGCGCCACCAGGGAGGCCCTTCAAACAGGGAATTTAATAAAAAGAATTAGTTACAAAGACTTTGGAAGGAAGGGTAGAGCAAAAGCGAGAAATTGGGGATGGGTGGGAAACAGGAGAAGATGATAAACAGAGATCAAAACTAGTATTCCCAGAGTGAAGCCCACAACCTTGTATCTACTGTCACACTGTTAGAAACATTCTCACAATCAGTTCTAGATCTGTCAATGTTGTGCCACCTTGACTAGGCGAGAAACTACTGTTACTACCACAGCAACTGCCACTTACTGGAGCCCAAAGCAGGAAGCATCTCTCTTCCTCCACTCTTCAAAGTTTGAGTGTCTGGAAGCGTTGAACAAAAATTTGACATAATAGTGTGGTGGTTAAGAGTAGACTCAAGCTAGATTGCCTAGATTAGATTCTGGTGTTACACTCTAGGTTACACTCGAGGTGTGTGACTTTGGACAACTTATTCTCTTTGTGTCTTATCTATTAAAATAGGGATAACAATAGCACCTTTTCATGGTTATAAAAAGTATAAGAATCAATATATGTAAATCACTAATAATTGTTCTTAGCATATAATGATCACCTGGTGAATGCTACCATTATTATTACTGCTTCACCTAATTTACGACCATTAAATACTAATATGGAGAAGGCAATAAGCTTCCATTGTACCGACATCCAATTGGTTTTAAAAGAAACATTTTCCTTAAGATGACAGTAGTTGATAGACTCAGGATTCTTTACCTAGCAATTCTCTTTCGAAGTGAGAATCTTTTAGTCGAGAAGATGCTGAAGACTTACAGGTAGGACTTGGGATGTGGAGAAAATGGTTAATATGGTTCTTTTTAGTGATTGCCATTGAGACATATTATCAGAAAAATGAACAAAGTAAAAATAAAAACTTGCAATTCAGAAACTAGCCACTAGGGCACAAAGAAAAAGGAAAAATTAGAAAATAACGAAATTAGATGTCAGCCGTCTAATCTTTCCATTGCAAACAGAAGAAGGATTTGCTCCTGGACACCAAGTGTAGGGAAAAAGATGTCTGTAGATTCCATATTAATCAATAGGAGAGTTCCAGGTAAACATTTAGAGTAGAAAGAAAAAAGCACCCAGCCATTACTTAGAATGAATTTCAGAACACTTCATCACAAGCATACAATTTGATATCTTATAACCAGTACTGTTTCTAAGTTTTAAAACTATATATAAAACTAAAGACAAAATCAGAATGGTAGAAGATGTACATTAAGGCTGAATCATAGGTTAGTTTCTCTGAAGGTCTGTCCTATGGGGGAAACTTATTAGACTAAGTGATA